CCGTTAATTTGGATTCAATTCTGAGACTTCTCTATTCCCACAGGCACATACCGAATTCAAATCTTCTGGAAAGGCGACCCCGGTGTGGTAGATAACTTCATCATTTGCTACCAGAACGAGGCCATCATGCGGAAATGGTCCAAGGACATCGAGAACCAACGGGCGATTCAGGCCGAACAGCGCAACGCCCGGAATACTGGAACATCCGAGACCGAATTCATGTATATGAAGAGTGTGAACATGCCTAATCCATACCAACAGGAGTATGATGCCGAAGAACAGTCGGTCAAGGAGGCGGCTTTCTTCTCCGAGTTTCCCATGAGTCGAAACGCCTCGAGCACCAGCCTGCGGACACGGTCTGCCACCGGTGGCAGCGGCGGCTCCAGTCGACCTCGTTTCCAAATGCAAATGCCGGAAGCGTCCCTGGCGGTGCATACTCAATTCCAGACCGGAAGCATGTCCCCGGGAGAGCGAAACGGCAACTCGTACTTCTCGCCCATGTCCGAGGCCGCCCCCTCGGCGCGATCGAGCTCACAGTCGACCGGCTATTCCTACGGCCGGACCGGGACGCCTTCAAACCAATGGCACGAGGAACCCAACCGGTATACCGCGCCCGCACTGTCGCGCGGGGTCTCACGCGACGGGACGAACGGGACCTCTTATTTCAATGGGCCGCCTCCACCAAACGGACGAAGCGCGCAACGACCTTCGCTGCCTCCGATGTCTGGGCCTCAGGCTCAGCCCCCGAACGGCATGGCGCAGCGGATGCGTTCGGCCAGCAGTCCAGATATTCACCACCATACCGTGCCGGACCGTCGATACATGGCCGGATCCATCGACAATGTTCCCGTGCCCCCAATCCCCGCACACATGGCCAACATGCGAGCCCCGATCAACCGCAGTCAGAACAACTCGCCGACAAGCCATAACCTCCCGGGCGCGCGCTCCGCGACGCACTCCCCGGCGCAGCAGCTACCGGACGGGCGACCAGCGCCCCCCTTACAACATACAAGCCACTTCCAAGAACCTCAGTACTCGGAGAGCAACCGCGGAACGCCGCTCGGCCATGACCAGCCGACCTCGCCTCTCAGCCAGGAGTCGGAGGACCCCTTCATGCCGACACAGCTCAAGGCCAAGGTCAACTTCGACGACAACTACGTCACCCTCGTGATTGCCAGCAACATTCTCTTCCGCTCCCTCACGGACCGCGTGGACGCCAAGCTGGCGCGGTTCACGAATCGGTCCATCGGCAGTAAATCGGTGCGACTGCGCTACCGCGATGAAGACGGCGATTTTGTCACCATCGACAGCGACGAGGCGGTCCAGCTTGCCTTTATGGAATGGCGTGAACAGCACCGGGATATGCTTTCCAAAGGGCAGGTGGGCGAGATCCAACTATACTGTCAAGTGGTGGAGAATTGAACATACGAGAGTTGCTCATGACTATCTTTCCTCAAATCTATTTGAGTCTTGCACATTCTTCGCTCATCTACTTATTGACCGTTGCCTCTTTTGCCATTACAACGACAAAGAGACTCAACTCCCTCCACTCCATCACCGGGGGACCAACTTGATAAAAGACTCCTTTCGACTGTAGTCGTCTGGTGATTTGATGATGATGACTTGGTTTTTTTTTTTTTTTTTTTTTTTTTTTTCTTCCCCTTGTTTTCCTTTCTTTTGCTCAGTTTCTCTTCCGTCTTTTTTTTTTTTTTTTTTGTGATGACCCATGTCACCGGCTGATTTACGAAGACCTCCATCTGTTCAGAAGACGCATCGTTCCCCTCCGTGAGGAGACAGTTGTTTAGATCTCGCTTCTTCCTTTTCTTTTCCTGTTTGTTTTCCCCTGTTTCCTTTTCATTCCTCCCTCCCCCCCCCTCAGTTCATTGCCTCCTAGAGGCTCGATCATAACGCTGCACCCTCGATGTCCATGAACCCAACCCTCCCTCCCTTCCTTCCTTCCCCCACGACCGTATGATGATGTATGTATACTGCTATGCAGTTGTTGTTGTCCTGTGTTGTTCGGAGAATGTACAATGCTGTACTCATCTGATACCTGGAGTCTGTACAGGCCACCGTTTATTTCCCTTTTTTTTTTCTTCTCTTTTCTTGTAAGAAGGGGGGGGAAAAAAGAAAATAAGAAGCCAATGTAGGTCTTTCTTTTTCCACTAGGCATCCAACCAGTTGTCATGCAACCAGCCTACCGGTCTACTAGGGAAAAAGCAATAGTACTTACTGTTGACGGTGGTGTCTGTCCACTCCATCAAGTATACTTGTCCATAACTGCCCACATGAGGCATTTACTACATACATGAATCCAGGGGTCAAGGTTCGCAAGATAGGCAGGATTTAATAAATGTGATATATTAATATTAGATTGAACATTTCTACAGGTCTATCTTCTAGATAGTAGATAACTAGTAGATAGTTATATAATTAGCAGGTGACTATGGTATATGATGTATGTATAGAGTATAAGTAGGATAAATATCAAAGGACATTATATCATCAAAATACCTCCCCGTAGAATGATCTTCGAGGTGATATCTACAGATGCGCGATTTTCCATCGTAAGGTCCAGATCCTCTCCCCTGCCTCCCATGCCTCCATTTCATTAGTCCTGGCTGGAGTCGTCTGTCGCCATGGTTCGTGCGTTGGCAAAGTGTTGTTGGCTGATCGAGAGTTGATCGGCGGTGGCAGCAGCCGGTGAGGGAGATTGCAGTGTGTGTTGGGTAGAGAGTCTTGCTTCCCCTCTTTTATCTTTTCTTTCCCCTTTTCTTCCTCTATTTACTGTAGCTGAGCATTCTCTCTCTGTCTTCTCTGGCTGTACGACAAGTACGAGATAGTAAGTAGGTATTCTCCTTATTTCCTTGATCTCCTTATACTCCTACTGCTCTTGTTCTTCTATTGTTGTTGTCATTGTTAGACCTACGATAAGATCGCAGAATTTGATCAACAATACTAATAACCCCCGCAGTAGCATCGCATCACATCGCGTCTGTCTATCCTCTCTACTGTTATCTGGAAAATCTCCGACTCTGCACGCCAAGTAGGCCAAGACAATAGAGACATCCATCATCAATCATGTCTTTCTCCGGGCGGCGGTTGAGCATCCTGCGTCCTTCCAGGCGGTTCTCGGTCGGCAAGGGCCTGTCTGAGAATGGTACTTGAGACTTCCCTGAATAAAAATCATCCTGTGCTATGCTCTAATCCCTCTTCTTCTAGAACGGACTTCCGAAACTCATCGCCAGTTCCGTAGCGCCCACGAGGGCCACCGTCCCCATGCCGGCCTGGACGCCTCCCGCGCCTCCACGGGTGTCGTCTGGTGCACCGAGCGAGCGACCGAACACGGTTATGCGGAGGATCCTTCTGCCTGGGCCAACCTGGGCCAGGGTGCCCCCGAGGCCGATGATGAGATCGAGGGCAGCTTTCCCAGACCGACCTCTATCCCCATCACCTCTGCCGCCCGCGAGTACGGGCCCACGGCGGGCATCCGGCCCCTGCGCGACGCCGTCGCCAACCTCTATAACGAGCACTACCGGCAGGGCATGGAGAGCCAATATACCTGGGAGAACGTGTGTATCGTCCCCGGTGGTCGCGCAGGCCTCATCCGGATCGCCGCCATCCTGGGCAACTCCTACCTCTCCTTTCCTATCCCGGACTACTCGGCCTACTCGGAGATGCTGAGCTTGTTCAAGAATGTAAGTTGGAATATTTAAATCTACCTTATAAACTTAACATTGATAAAGTGTATGCTTACTGCTAGATCGCTCCTATCCCCATCCCTCTCGCCGAAGATGATCACTACCACATCCACCCCGACAAGATCGCCGAGGAGATCGCCCGTGGTACCTCGGTGCTGCTGACCTCCAACCCGCGGAACCCTACGGGTCACTTTGTCGACAATGAAGAACTGGCCCGCATCCAGGACATCTGCCGTGACCGTGCAACTCTGATCCTCGACGAATTCTACGGCGGCTACAACTACACCTCTGACTGCGATGGCACCACCATCAGTGGCGCCGCCAACGTGGTCGACGTCAACAAAGATGGTATGTATATATATATACTTTGCTTCAAGGGAAAAAAAAAACTGACGATTGCAATAGATGTCCTTCTGATTGACGGCCTGACGAAGCGCTTCCGACTGCCCGGATGGCGTATCGCATGGATCATCGGCCCGAAGGAGTTTGTCGACGCGCTGGCCTCGGCCGGCTCGTACCTGGACGGCGGGGCGAACGTGCCCTTCCAGGAGGCGGCGATCCCCATGCTAGAGCCGTCGCTGGTGCGCGCGGAAATGAAGGCGCTGCAGACACACTTCCGCGAGAAGCGCGACTACGTGCTCAAGCGGCTGGGCGAGATCGGCTTCCGTGTCAAGGACGTGCCCCAGGCGACGTTCTACATCTGGCTGGATCTGACCTCGCTCGAACCCCCGCTGCCCAAGGAGGCCAACATCTCCGACGGGCTGAACTTCTTCAACGCCCTGCTCACGGAGAAGGTCATCGTTGTGCCGGGGATCTTCTTTGATCTGAACCCGGCCCACCGGCGCGACCTCTTCGACAGCCCCTGCCATCATTTCGTCCGGCTCAGCTACGGGCCCAAGATGGAGGTCCTGCGCAAGGGTCTCGACGGTATCGAGCGCGTCATCCGTCGCGCCAGGGGGGAGACCGTCGACGGATACTGGGAGGACGAGGTTGCTGTCCAGGACTAGACTAGACTACTACATAGATAGCTAGAATCACTACTTATCTTTTATCTATCTTACTATTTCCCTAGGCATATTTCTATAAGTGTAACCAGTGTCCACCGATAGGCAGCATGACATCAGCCAAGATGTATAGATATTACTACTATGATTTATCCCGCTAGACTGGCTCGGAGAAGTTCTCCTAGAGGAAGGGCAACCTTGCTGGCTTCGGCCAGTCCTTGAGATCTGCGCTACACATGCATTGAAATAATAAATAACAGTAAACAATGAATAGTAAACAATAAGTAGCGAGTAAATAATAGTCACTACGTTCGCAGTTTACCATGTGGAAACCTCGTGAGATAGACGCAAGGAGTAGAGCATTTTCCCCTTCGGGTTTTATCTCTGAAACATACTCATCTATAACTACCTAGTTAACTAGTGTACTCTTTCATACTCATTCATACTCATACTATACTCCGTAGTTACTCCGTAGTGTATTCCGCGACTCCGTAGTGTACTCCATACTAACTCCATACTCCGTAAGCCGGACTCTGGTCTAGAATTGCAACTAGTAAGACCAGGTTATTTCGCGGACAGGGGTAGGGGGGGAAAGCAAAAAGAGAAACGGCTTATCACTAGCATGGCGCGAGTCATCTTGGCCGTTCGTATCGATGATAAGTCAAAGGCCAAAGGCCAGAGAGGGCTGTGGAATGCGGGGATGGAGCGTGGCGTGCGTTATCGCGTTTTTGACAAATACGAGGACACACGGCGAGGAAGCGTCATGAACCAGAAACCAGGTTCATGGGTTGATGTGTCATACGTTGACCGAGTCTTGACTCTTGAGTCTGTACGGAGTAGAGCTCTTCTGTACGGAGTACGAAGAGGTACTCTGTACGAAGAGGTACTCTGTACAAAGAGGTACTCTGTACAAAGACTCCGTAGGTATGGATGGGTATGGTGGATACTATTGACACTCGATAGTACCTACTACAAGAGTCAGTCAACACTGGAGTAACAGTCACAGTCAACTAACATACTATGTAGTAATTAGCTTGTCTATAGGGAGTGAAGTTATAGTACCGGGATTTGGTCAGGATCTCCAACGTAAGCGATCGCAGATCGAGCAGTAGTGAGCAGCCGGGGCCGGGAAAGCACTAGTCTAGCGCATTAGATGATAATAGAAGTACTCCGTAGTAGACAGTAGAGACAGTAGTAGGACTAGACAGTAGTTAGTACTCGAATGAGGGGCCAGGCGGATATTGTGGCTGTCATGACAGTTGGAGAGGGGAAGTTGGAAGGACAATGCAATGCAAGCTGCTGCAGCTCGCTAGATTACTCCGTAGTCAATAGGATGGCTTGGCTGGGTAGACACGCCGCGTAATTGTTTCTTGTAGGAGAAGCTGATGAGCTGGAATCATATATATATAATATATATTAGAGAGATATATATAAGATATATACATAAGATATAATGTATATATCTACCTAGGTATATACTGCTTCGCCATAGATATAATATTTAAGATATGTTTTGAGAATAAAACCACCTCCCTGTAGGAAGTGTAAGTAACGGTATTAATACAAAACTAGCCGTATGGTGTACGTCCCGTACCGTCTTTTTACTAGGGACAATCCTGAGTTGATATGGCCATTCATAGCCAGCGAAACAAGAGAGTTCGGGGATATATTATTATTATTATTATTATTATCCTCGCGACTGGGGACTTCTGGAAGAACTTTTATAATATTATTCTTGATCCCAGCTCGCTCTATCTCTCTTTCTCTCTCTCTTGTTCTATCTCTCTAGGAGGATCTTGTTCCTATTTCTATCTCTATTTCTATCTATTACTATCTCTATTACTATCCGAGTATCCCTCTACGAAGTATCTCTCTCTATACTAAATAATTACCTCCGTATAGCTACTCTCCGATCGCATCGTCCCTGTCGACCAGGGCCGTCGTAGTCGATGGACCCCGAATCCACTGCTCGCATCGCATCTTCTCCCATGCCCTGTTTAGCATCGCTGGTGGCGGTCCCCGTGGTTTTTCTTCCTTCGCCTCTTTGATTTTCCTCTGGTCGATTTTATTACTATTCTTCTTCTTCTTCTTCTTCTTCTTATTTACCTTCCCCAGACGGCAAATCGTTTGATCCATCAGACCCAGTTTTTCTCTCTCTGTCTGTCCCCAATCTCACCCTTCTCTCTTTTCCTTTCTTTCCTTTCTTTCCTTTCTCTCCTTTCTCTTCTTTCTCGTCTTTCCTATATATCCTCATTATTTTCTCGATTTTTTCACGCCGTTTGGCTCTACACCGTGTCACCAAATTGCCTCCTCGCCGTGTGGCTCGCTTCCTCCGCTGCCATCCATCATGGCCCCCGGCGGTGGTCGCGACTTCAACTGTACCTGGGATCATTGTGGAAAGGTAGGTTTTTTGAAAAAGAAAAAAGAAGAAAAAGAGAAGAAAAATAAGACTCGCTAATCATTTATTATCAGTCGTTCAATCGCAAATCCGATCTCTGTCGGCACTATCGCATCCACACCAACGAGCGGCCGTATCACTGCACCGTCAAGGACTGCAACAAGAGCTTCATCCAACGCAGCGCCCTGACCGTCCACTCGCGCACCCATACGGGCGAGAAGCCCCATGTCTGCGACCACGAGGGCTGCCACAAAGCGTTTTCTGATGTGAGCCAATTCCCCCATGGATCATCGCCCTGGTTCTCCTTCTACCCCGATGACTAACCCACCCCCGTCCAAGTCGTCCAGTTTGGCACGTCATCGTCGCATTCATACGGGTAAACGTCCGTATATCTGCCATGAGCCTGCGTGTGAGCGGAGGTAAGTTTGAAAATCAACGAAAATAGACCACCGGTCGAGTGGGGTGAGGGAACAATGTCATTAAAATCTAGGATTAGTTTCTGCCGCAAGACCACCTTGACAAAGCACCAATATCGCTCCCATCGACCCGGCACGCTTACACGAACTCCATCCGAAGATGCTATCTCGGAGCATTCGTACCAGGCACCCGTGACCGTCTCGGTCTCGGTCTCAATGCCTCCTGCCACAGAGCAATACCTGCTCACGCCGCAGCCGTTCTATCATCCCCCCACGACTCCAGAGTTTTATCAGCAACATCAACCTCAACATCAAACTCAACACCAACCTCAGCACCAACCTCAACATCAATATCAGCATCAGCATCAGCATCAGCATCAGCACCAGCATCAGCACCAGCACCAGCACCAGCATCAGCACCAGCATCAGCACCAGCATCAGCACCAGCATCCACATCAGCACCAGCACCAGCATCAGCATCCACATCAACCGGCCCCTCCACCAGCTTCTACACCGCTACCTATGGCCCATGTGGCCCCAGTACCCGAAGCACCCCTACCGCTGATGACACAGCCGCCAATCCCCGTCAACCCGACGATGGACGTGCAGCAAGCTCAGCAGTACCTGCAACTCATGCAGCAGCAGCGCTTTGATCCCAGCCGTCAGAACTACCTCCCACAGGACTTTCATCTCCAGCAACCACATCCGCCGTACGCAGCAGCAGCAGCAGCCGCAGCCGCAGCAGTCGGCCACACCATGGCCGAGAGCCATCCGATCATGATTGCGTACCATCCGACCACCGCACCCCTCCAGTACAAAGAATCGCCACGGATGCTGAATCAAACAGAGGGAACCGATTGGCGATTTCTTGGAGTGGGCGGATAGGACTATTCTTTCATCGTTCTTCATTCTTCATTTTTTGCTTTCGCGATAGATAGTTCTCTCTCTCTCTCTCTCTCTCTATTTCTCCTTTAGTTATGACTTGCTGCATCCCAGTGATACCCGGAGGGACGTGTGCGAGTCACTTTGCGCCCTTTCTTTTCGTTTCATTTCTGTGATTCTATTTTCTTTTCTTCTTCTTCTTTTTTCATCCTATTTTATTTTTCTACATTTGGCCCAGGCGTTGCGGCACCTACACGAGATACGATACACTGTACGGTATTCAACATCAACATCATCATCATCATCATCATCATCATCATCATCATATACGAATTTATCCAGTAGAACAGGACTAGCAAGAGAATAGCGCAGAAGAGGTAATTTCGGTCCGAGCAGTGGCTGGACTTGTGGCAAATGAGACCTCGAAAGGCAGGCGATGGCGAATACCAGGTAATAAATAGAGGTAAAAAAAAAACGGAAATCAGAATTGAAATCCGGAAGAAGTCTTAGGAGGCTCTCTCTGTCTTTTCTCTTAATTCCATCAACCATCCAGGTTGAAGTATGAATATAGAATACAGAATGAGGGGGCCGGAGATGAAACGATGATCGATGAAGATCTGTTTAAGCAGTGGAGGGACCATGGTATAAAGTTGAACCAAATTAGTAAATCTGGTCTAGACTTACTGAGTAGGTGCCTAGGTAGATAACCAAGGTAGCTTACCTACGGAGTAAGTTACTGGATAAATACTATCTCCAGTGAACTCCGTGGTACTCCGTACTGTACAGTATGAAACACCCCTTGCTGGTGAGAGCGATAGGTTTGTCTCCTCGTCCTCGTGTTGTACTGCATCTCTCAACCTTGTTCGAGTAAGCCAGTGGCACCCCCCTTTGAACACGCCTGGATCCGGCTGGATCTTCGTTATGGACCTGCTGCAATTGAGCTAGTTCAGCTTCAGTTCAGTCTTCTGTCCTTATTTCACCTAGTCTAGTGCTGGGTAGTGGGTGCTGATCCTGCTGGCCTGATATGGTAATAGACGTACCTATCTGGTAGGATCTAGAGTAAGAGTGGCATGATTCTGTCTCCATGATTGGTTACAAAGGTTGTCCTTGCTATTTATGTCTCATTCTGACACATCGCAGAGACGTAGAATACCTGCAACAATGAGTATACTCTATAGGAATGTTCTCTCTAGCCGTGTAAACCGGAGTAGGTACGGAGTAACTATACCTAATGACTTCTCTTTACTCAACAGATTGTTGAGGATCTCGAATAGAGTTTGCCCTGGCTCCTGTCACTACCTCGATAGGTCCACTTGCCACTGGACCCGGCTGGGCAGTGGGCAGGCGTGCCAAAAGCCTGGACGTATGTGTAGACCCGACGAGAAGGACACCCGTGAAACGAATCATAGCCGGGAAGACAGCGCGTGAGCTGAGCGTAGGTAAGTTTAACTCTACCTACTGCCTAGTTAGGTACCTAGGTATTCCGGTCTATACTCTGGCTCTGTTCTGTGGTACAGTCTGTTAGCGTGAACTCTCGATAGAACGATCCAAGATATCCTGGAAAAAGAGTTGGACACTAAGCTACTAGTCTGGTCAGATAGTTGGTTACCTGGTATTGCCTGATCCCCTGATCCACGTGGAGCTTCTCCGCCGAGTCACCGAGTCGCCGGTTAAGCGTGTAGAGGTGAAGGAAGAAACTTCCTTGGGAAAATGAAGTTGTTGAGCAGGAGAGAACCATGGATGGCAGACGTCAGTCTCTCGGGATGGTGGGCGGGAAGGACCCGTCATTTCCCATTTGGCCAATGGATGGATCGCAGTGACAGCTCAGGGATTACTTTGTTCCGCGTCCAATCATACTGTATTGATTAGTACCTGGTACCTGGTAGGTACCTAGTAGTACTTCCTGAGATATGGTAATACTATTACAGGATGCTGTACTGTCTTGCTGCTGTCTTGCTGATGTCTTGCGGCTGTCTTGCGGCTGTCTTGCCTGAGGCACAACATACAACATACAGAGTAACTCTGTAACTACTCAACTAGTTATATATATCAACTACAACTATATACATACTACTCAGTCTAGATCTGAATCTGTTGAAATAAAATTAGTCTCCGCCCCGCCAGCCCCCGCCCCGCCGGCGCAAACTCTTATCCTCCTGGCCCCTTTGGGTCTTGGACTCGTCTGTGCCACCAGTGTCCACTGTCCACTGTCCACTCGGTATCCACTGGTGGACATGCTAACCAGAGTAGGTAGTTGAGATACGAAGACTAGACAGGACAGTGGACACTTACTACATAGACTAGACAACTGCAAAACTACAGAAAACTATATACTCCGTAGACACAGATCGACAATCTAGTATTGTCATTTCAAGCCGGATGATCCCAACTGCCGCTTTTCTGACCGGGAGGTGCCGGCCACGGTATTTTTACTAGTGCCATACCGGCACTCGTTCTGTAATATCATAATTATCATTACGGTTAATTACAGAGTTAGTACCTAGGTACCTAGTACCTAGTACCTAGATACATCTTATCTCCTAACTAGTAGTTACCTTGGAGTACTATGTATGTAGTATGTAGTATCCTTGATACTTCTTGGCAATGGTATGATTACTCCTCTAGTCTTGGCAGCACCTATAGTCACTTGACTACCTACCTAGGTACCTACTACCTAGTTAGTAACTACCTAGTAGGTACCTAAGGTACCTACTAATACAAGGTATTACTCAATCACCACCACATATATAGACCTTCCTATTTGGTACTATGCAGAATCAATCTCTTCGGTAGCGATGGAGAGCTAAACTGTTGAGCTGCTAGCTATTCACCCTATTAACTATTAGCTAACTCCCAGACTTCTTCTCTAAACTAACCTCACGGATTGCGAATCTTCTCCATCTCTGCGTACGTAGACCGCCTGCCCTTCCTGGGATTTTTAAGCGATCCAGCGATAATACTGAGTATACTGTGTAGATACTCCTTATAGATTAGAGTAGTCATACTACTATATACATAACACCGGTAAATGCTTCATGGAATTACGTGACATCATGTCCAATTAGCCTCGCACGTTGTACCGCTCGTTGAAGGCGTTCACAGCTGGAAAGATTAGCTCAGATAAACCTCGAGAACAACCACGTTTCAAAAAAGGGGGGAAAAAGACGTACCAATGGCAATCTGCTTGTAGAGCCAATTCCGCGCGCTCTCGTCCTGCACGGGGACAAACGGCCCGTTGGTGCCACCCTTGAGCGTGATGCTCATGCCCGTGCGCTCTTTGGAGATGGTCTGGATGTCCGACAGCTTGATGTCCCACTCGCTCTCCAGCTTCTTGGACCGCACCAGCATGATCCGGTCGTACGTCAGCATCACCAACAGGTCCCGCCCCGGCAGCTCCAGGTGCGCAATGTAGTCTTCGTCGAAGAACCGGCCGTCATCCGTCGTCTTGAGCCAGAACTGGCCCAGCGCCTCGCGCTGCGAATACGGGCGCACGATCCCATCCGTCCCGATGAAGCGTGTCAGACGCACCCGGTCCAACCCCTCGGCATCAAACACCGTCGTCGTGTTCCGCAGTCCCTCCGCCACGTTGGACGCCAGGTCGAACGCCCCGATGGCCGGCTTCGTCGCCAGCCCGACCACCCCCTTAACCGCCCCCTTGAAGAAGCCCTGCAGCCCGTCCTTTTCGGCCCCCTGGAGCGGATGCCGCGCCAGGCCGCCGATTCCGCTGGCAACGCTGTTGTAGAAGGCACTCCCGCCCGCCGTGATGCCGTAGAGCGCGTGTTTCGGCCGGTTGCGTGACCGCGACATCCGTCGCTTGTCTTGGAACTCCTTGTCCATCGTCACCAGCGCAAGCCCCTTGGACACACTGCCCGTGAACTTGGTGATGCTGTCCGACAAGCCAAACACGGACTTCTTCACAAAGCTGGTCGCCCCCTTGGCGATGCCGACGCCCAGCTCCTGCGGTCGGTCCGTCATCACCAGCCCCTGATACGGCTCGTAGAAGATATCCGTGATTCCAGAGCTGACCGTGTTGAACAGACCGACCGGGTTGCCCAAGAAATCGGCAGATCCCAGCACGACATGGATCTGACGGAGGAATTCCTGCGTGTAATGGTTGCGGATGTTCCCGACCAGCACCCCCATCGAGACACGCGCGTTTTCCAACATCAGCGCGTTGAGCCGGATCGGAGCGTCGTTCACATTGCCCATCGACATCGTCATCACATTGATGAAGAACATCAGCGGGTTCGACGGCCGCATCTTGTCTTCCGCGTTGACACGTTCTGTTCGCATAAAGGAGATATCCAGCTGCATGGGCTGCAGATGCAGGAGCTCAAAGTACACGTCTTGCCCGGGATCCTGCTGCTGCGGTTCCGGGATGTTCAGATCCTCGTCGCACAGCTGGCCTTCCTCTTGTTCCTCCGACCAGGAAGCGCCGGGCACCTTGGCAAACTCGAGCATCGCAAAAATAAAGTCCTCGTCCAGTTCGAGAGTCATCTGCTGCACGAGCACAGTTGCGTATTTGATGTACAGCACGCCATACGAGTCGTCCTTGACCCGCGTGGCCATGGCGTGGAAGATGGGATGGGCCTCCATCTCCTTGCCCGTCTTGGGAACGACACTCGGGTACAGCAGAATAGGGAAGATGCCACCATAGAGTTGGTTGTCGATCTGGATCCATTTGATCGTAGTGCCCAGCGTTTGGTAGATCTGCGATTCGCGGAACTTGACTTCGATTTCGCGGAATGTGAGGTACAGTAACTCTTTCATCTTCTGGTTGACTAGGGAAATGCCGATACCCCCGAGGCGAAGCTGTGCCTTGAACGTGACATCCGAGTTGAGATCCTTGACCTCAAACCCGGTATTCACGCTGGCCTGCGACGTGTGTGCTTTCTGCTGCTTGTAGATGCTCTTCGAGGCCTTGAAGTTCGAGAGCACCAACATCTGCGTAGGCCCGTCCGCAACGATATTAATGTCAATGATCTTCTGCGACTCACCGGGGGATGTGGGCGGTATCCTCATGGGGATGAGGTTTCCGATCTCGGCCAGTTTGATATGGCGTTCCTTGCCGTTGCAGGTCAAGACCAAGGATTTATTCTTCGTGGCCGGGTAATCCCAGGCATAGGGCATGATGCTGCGAGGCGGCAGGCGATATCGAATTGGTCGCCAGCCACTTGTTCGATCTTCCTCGTCCTCTTCGACGTTGGGATTGGCTTGGAAAAAGTAGAACTCCGCATCACTCTCATTCCGCATGGTGAACGGCCAATTCCGCGTCTCGAAACTGAGATGGAGGAAGAGCGTTGCCGCCTCCATAATGATTTCAACTTTGATCAGCCGCTGGTGTTGCTGTTCCTTGGCCAACTTCACATGCACAGCCCCGACATCTGCAATGTTGAAAGGCGAGGACCACTGATTGTTCACGCCGGGAAAGCACAAACAAAGTTGCTTCTCGGGGACCTGTCGCAAGAAATAGAGAGGCACAAGGTCACCGCTCTTGATGTCTAGAATAGTAGACGATCCGGGCTCGCGGACCTGGAGATCTTCGCTCAATTTGCTCTTCAAGACGAAACGGGGAGTAATGGTCACGATCTTTGTCAATTTGTATTTGCCCTCCCCTTCGGCAACAGAAACACCGGCATGGAATTCGGACCGTGCAGAGCTGCTCGGTAGGACAACCTCGAAGGTGCTCCCGATCGCCTCAAAGGACTGCGGCTTGCTCCAGCCGGAATCGGTAATCTTCAAGATCGACCGGTTCTTCTGGTCTTCGGATGGGTAGGAGTACATATAAGGAAGGGTCCGTCCGCCGCGCTGGGAGTCCGCTCTCAGTCCTTTACCGGCTGCAGACCTAGCCGACTGGAGAAAGCCCTTACTCTGGATCTCCATGTCAAGTCCCGTTTGGTTGAGAACGAGATACGGGCTGGAGACAGAAACCTTAAAGGCCCCGCCGCTATCAGGCACGTTGAAGTAATGAAGTTTAAGTTTCAGCTGGATCCCTCGTTCGTCGCAGAGGGACAGGACATGCTCCCTACGGAAATCCTGTCCGTTTCCGTTGATGATTGAAAAGTCGCTTTGTTTGAATACCGTGTCCTGCAGGTCAATGCTGAGCAGTAGGAGGTGAGATAACTCCACCACATGGACGGGGCTGACGCCGCCCTTGCGCAGGAAATTTGTCCAGTCCTTTTTCGTGTTCTTGTCGTAGATCCGGTACTTGAAGTCGTAGGGAAGGAGGTTCTGAATCTCGACAGGAGCATAGATGCGAATTCTCATATTTGGGTAGACCTTGGTAAGTGGGTCGTTGGCGTTGAAAGTAGCATTCATCTGGAAGTAGAACGGGGGAGCCTGCTGTCCACTCTCACTCATACACCTGATAGTCCGGGTCGGTCGACGCAAGAGGTCTTTCCAGGAAAGCTGCTCATTTGACCAATCATATCCGAAACCCTGGTCAGGCCGGATGACAATGGAATGCAGGTAGGCTGAGCCGACAGGCGCAGGTCGGGAGTCGCCAGGGAGGATCTTCTCGATCTTGAGAAGATGACCATCTCTCGGGCTGAAGATACCCAGCTCCACTGGGATTTGCGTGTTGTTTTCGACCAGGAGCGGAGAGCGGAAGACGATGTACTTCACATTGTCTGTGCCGAGCTTGACCTCGACAAGGAGTCGGTGAAGTACACCATCCTTCTTAGGTTTGAGGTTGTAGATGAGTTCGCCTTCCCGAACCACGGGGATCCGATTGATGCTCTCAAATCCACTACCTTCGAGCTTGATCCCGACAAGACCAGCCTGGCCCTCGGGAGCAAGCTTCTCACGCATAGTGGTCGAATCCTCAAACCGCCACGGGTATTCTTCCCCATCGCTCAGCTTGGCCGCTGGGCCCTCGTCCCCTGAGTCTACATCGGCCCAAACCCGAAGGTCGAACCCGGTGTAGTTACAGATTCGGTACGGTGCATCGGCCCCTCGAGGCTTGGAAAGAACATCTTCATCCGTGGAGAGGAACTGGAATGATTTGGATGCGAGAGCAATCGTGGCCGAGGTCACCGTAAGCTCCATGGTCTTATGAGAGAAGATATCGATTGACAAGACTTCAGGGTTGACCTCCTTGGCCATGTGGAATCCCATTTGCCAAGGTTCAATCAGTGGCTCCCAGGCAGATTTCGAGAAGTTGTAGACATTGAAGAACGTATCAAAGCTAGTATCGGCGCTCAGCGCTGTAGACCAGTCCCGCACATCGACCTTGAACTTCTTCACGCTCCAATCCAGGAGTGGTAGATCATGCAGGTCTCCAATGAGAATCACCCGGACTCCATCGACTTGGGCGGAGAGCTGCTCCCGCTTGAGAACAGCAGAGCTGGGCAAAGCTAGTTTCTGGTTTGCTGTGTCGCTCGTTTGGCTTTGGCGTCTCTGCGTCCGCGAAGTCGCGGATGCCTTGGCCACCGATCTGCGAGCGGAGGACCTTGCGCTGGTCCCTTTGCCATCGTGAATCCTCTTAACCCCCGCGGCTTCAACCTCTTGGGGCTGGCCGTTCCTCATTTCCGAAGCCTTGTTGACGATCTGAATAGCCATCAAAATATCGCGGAGAGAAAGTCGAAGAACGAGAGGGTCAACATGCACATCGATTGAAGTCAGTGACGAGCTTCTGTCTTGCGGGCGACTATCTATCGACACTTCAATCGTGAAGTCGTCTAAGATTCGAAGTCGACTTGTCTCAAACTTATCCATCCGACAGAGGAACATGCCGACCTTGGTCACCTGTAGGAAGGCGACATTCTGGTACGAAAGCAGGAGCTGCTTGGTCCCCAGCACAATCGCTTCACTGTGCGAGATGCTAGGATTCGCAACCATGATGACTTGGGCATCGACCAGGTTCACCCGGAAAGACATCGTCATCTGCCCACTCGGAGCCGATGCGTTGCCATCAGATGTCTGAGACTGGGATTTATCCGAGCCGGCACCGGTATGAGAGCTTGATTCTGACTCCTCGGGTATTTCTTCAATCTCTTCGATCTCCACCGGCCTATCAACGGCAAACGCCGTGCTTGCGAAAGACTGCAGCGCCGAGAGGTAGTCCAAGGCAAAGATGATCCGCGGACTATCTATAGTTAACATGGCAACCACATGTTTCTCAGGACCGGGTGAGATCGAGAGGCTGGCCATAAATTGTTGCTGGACATCATTATTGATCAATGACATGATCTTCTTGAACTTGCTCGTGTCGTTTGTGCGACTGTCCCGGATCGTCAGAGAATGGATCAGCAGCTCCGACTCCAGCGAACCGTCCGTCAGCATGCGCAATGTGACTTTGGTGTCATTCAGAGAGAACTTTGCAAGACTGGAATCTTCCAGGCGGCCGACTGGCTCCCGTTCGTTGGCGAGGATCAGCTCGAGGCCAACGCTTTCTGCTTTGAAGACCATATCGAGTCGTACCCATGTCTGCTGGTTCGCGTCATCTTGAAAAGAGACGGCACTTTGATCGTTCTTGGTGGCCCTGTCTTTCTGGGCGGCGCTTTCACTTCCTGGCTCTGTGGTTGTAGTGGACTCCAGAGACTCTTCGGCTTCGAGTTGCTGCTGTTCGCTGTCGGTTTCAAAAGCACTCGGGACTGTCTTGGACAACTCTAGTAGGAATTTCAATTGATTCTGCGAAATCCGTAGGTTTATCGGAGACACCGAGCTTTCAATCTCCATATCCGGTCGCGGGTTGTTTGTTTGATGTTCCAGGTAGCAGACACTAAAGTCAAGATTCACTTTCTGAATCATGTCCAACTCTTCGCTTGCTCCTCCTTCGTAATGGAAGTTTGAAGTCAGCCGAATATTCCTGATACCGGTCGAGATGAGATTGACAGCCGGGCTATCCTTGACATCCTCCTCCAAAGGAACAAAGGTGTTCTGTGCGTAGATCTCTCCAAGATGGGCGGTGATGGTGTCCCGAGGACGGTCATCTTGTCCGACCTTGGGGAACACTACGATCGGGGTCTTGACCACGATGTCGAAGCGCATTCGAGATGCGTTCTCTTGCAGCTGGTTCGCTTGGTTGGCAGCCGCTTGACGAGCGGCATTAAAAATGGCCTGCATCTTGCCAAACTTGACCAGGAAATTGAGAATCTTGCGATACGGCTCCTCGAGAAAGTTGATCTTGATAGAACCAGACCGCAAAAAGACCTCCGAGTCGTATCCAGGATAGCTATCGCTTTCCGGGTCAAATGTCTCGTATTTGAAATCAGCAAAGTTGTCTCCTTCAATGGTCAGGAGCCTGCGGAAATCAGAGGTTTCAGAAGCTCCCAAGTTCACATCATCAATCAAAGTCAAGCTTCCAATGCGAGACTGAATCAGCATCGTGCGTCCGACGAGGAAGATCCCAACATCGGCAGTATTCAAGCTCAAAGTGCCCAGGCGAACACCATCATTGTTCAAGATGAGAGCGATACTCTTCAAGTTCGACTTGATGCGTATTTTACCGGCTTGCTGGGGTTGTTGAACTTCATCCGAATCGCCCTGAATGCTTCTGTTAGACACGCCGGCTTGGTTGCTCGGCTGCTCTGGATTTGTGAATGTCAGAAGAACAAAGTCCAGGAGGGTCAGGAGGGTTCGTCTAGTGACAACGAGATTGATGGTAGAAACAGAGACCTCGAGGTTCATCGCCACACCTTCGTACGTCGACTCAAACTCGGGTGATTCGGGTTTCACTCGGACGAATTTTAAGTGGAACAGGTCCTTGTCCTCGTCGGCATCAAAGCCTTTGGAAGAGATGATTCTTTTGAATTCTGGAAGGGGATTGTCCTCGATATAATCGTCAACACTTAGCGATTGAAGGACGACCTCTGCAACCATATCATATGGGCGCATGTAGAAATCCAGCTGAAACCCTTCTGCAACCAATTCCACCAACAACTGGTCGGGTCGCTGGTCACTTGGATCAGAGCGGAATAACGAGCCACGGAGACGACCGACGGTGAATTTGAATTCGAAATCACGTCTATGAAGGTTGGTGACAACGTCTTTGTTGTTGTTGTTTTTGTTGTTGTTATTCTTTGACCGGTCGTTAATCGATTCGACGTCTGAATCTTCATCCACAACAGGAAGCTCTCGTTGTATGGATGGTTGGAATGATGCCGATCTTGCCCTATTTCCAGTCGTGGCAATCTCGCCTGAGGTACCATCGCCTATCGATCGAGCTTTTGTATCTGATGCGGTTTTCTCGCCATCAAATTGCGGGATAGCGATGTCAATCAGCTTCATCAGACCTTTATACTTGGTATCAGAGATAGAGGCATGCAACTCCGGCAGATGGCCGGAGATTCGAGTCTTGGTCAAGTCTGTAGATTTGGATACAATACACAACTCCACCACGAAGTCGATGTTGATGCGATCAACAATATGCATATCCTTGGAAGGGTCGTCTGTATTCAACTGAGCCTTCGCCGCTTCGATTCCTGGGCCGATGAGGACTTGGGTTGAATCAAGTTTCAGAATAAATCGGTCGTACATGAGGTGCTCCAGTTGCTTGTAGTCATCCTCGTTATATTGACGCTTCTGCTTGGACTGGATCTCCTTCATAGTCTTCCTATCAACCAGCTCGCTATTGACGCTGACATGGCCAGCATCCAAAATCAAGCACAGGGAGCTCTCTTGCGTAATGCTCTCCGGAACAATGAATAGCGGCGCACGAATATCGAACTGAGCATCCACTTTTTTGTGTTCTTCCAGGGCAAATTCTAGACCCGCTCGAGTCTGCTGGCGGATTTCCTCTACGGTAGCTCCCGCGGTGTCGAGAAGAGCCCCGATAGACTCCAGGTGTCGCTCGGGCGGTTCGAAAAAGCGGACAATCTCCACGATGAATTTGGGGTTATAGATTATTTCGATACTTTTTAATTTGACCTTGATGGCTGTATCTGCGTCACTGTCGAGAGGGTTGGTTTCCAACTGAAGATGGAACAGGCTATCTTCGTCTTCATAGGTGCTCGTGTTTGAACTCAACTCGGTCTTCTCTGGGTCCTGGGCCTCGCGATCTTTGGGTTCTGGCAGAGAATCTTTAACCTTGACAATCTGAGGGAACAAGCTTCCCTCCGTTGTACCATCGTACACCCGCAGCCCTCCCAGATCCAGGTCGAGAAAGAACGAATCGGGCCGCTGCAGGGCCTTGGCCTGGAAGTTATCGAAAACAAGCTTCATGATCTCAATCCCCTTGCCATGCGGATCCCGTTTCAACGTGAAGCTTCCAGCACGGAGACCTGCATTGACCTGGAGTTTGACCCATTCCCTGGGAACATCAACGCTTTCCTCGATGACTTTTTTCTCATCCCAGTCAATGGCATTGTACAGCTCTTGTCGTTGCTCCTCTGTCATGGCGGTAGACTCATCCTCCTGCTCCTTCTTGGCGCCCCAGATCCATTCCGACCAAGTTTGCTGTCTCGCGGGTTTTTGGACTCCGACATGCTCTTTGCGGAGTTGGTTTCTTGCGAGGGATCGCCAGAACCGGATGTCTTCGTAACTCAGTTTCCACTCCAGTCGCTCGAGCTCCTTGGCTTCCTCCGCCGTCAACGGTTCCTCTCGCTTCTTCTTCTTGAACAGATTGATATACGCGATACGGTCGTCTCTGCGTTCTTTGATATATTCCCAAGACCATCGTCGGTTCCGGTCGTGGATTTTGCTCAGGACAGCCTGGCCGGCGAATCTGAACCACGCGCGGGGATCTTCCTTGGGTCTCACTTTGGGTTGGAGTTTCTTGTATTCTTGGTGACGAATGAAGTAGTGGAAGAGGTCAACGAGCATCAAGGCGTCTCGGTATTGGCTTTCATCCACGACGAAGCCCAATTCATCGAAGAGCAACCGGGCTTTGATCGCCGGTCGATCATGCTGACCTGTCTTGTCAATCTCCAAGCCTGCCCGACCGCTGACGGGGCGAAGGATGAACTGGTTCCCCAGGTCGCTGTCGATTCCGGCGCGTAGCTTTTCCATAAGCTCTTCGTGATCGATACCCTGCGCCTCCGCCCCGACATCAGATCCTCGACCGGTTCCGAGCAAGTCGGCGTCGGTATTCCAATAGACCGCAAGAGCGCCCAGCACGGCCAGCTTATGGGTGGTACCCGAAGTGGACTGAATGAACGTCGGGTTCCACTCCGGATCGGTACTGACGGCACTCAGTTCCTTGAGGGTGAGCCCAGCCGCAAAGGGGTTCCCCGGAGAGGCGATGGAGTCTTCATAGCGCAGATGCACATTCTTGATGGAAATCTGGAGGTTATCGACAACAGCCGTCACCAGGCTCTGGGTGAAGCTCTGGTTCCTGCGTTGCTCCTCCTGGCTCATACCTTCGGCATTCTTCTCGCGCAGTAACTCCGCGCTCTCGACCTTTTCCATCTTGAGAGCGTGCTCTCGTCGCTCCTCTTCCTTCTGGTCATAGTCTGCGTCCTCCTTGGGAGCTGCCAGCAGAAACACATCCTCGATGTCCACCTTGACGGGTTTCCCGCGCAGATTCGACCATGGAATGGATAATGTCAGCTGACCTAGGTGACCTTCGACGACGTTTAATGGGAGGTGTAGCTGGTCGAGCGCTTCGCGGCGTAGTTCTAGATTGTGCAATTTGACGTCACCCGACCAGATGCCGATGTTGAGCTGTTTGGCATCGAAATTCTTGACATACATGCCCAGAAAGCGGTTGAGCAGGTTTGCAACGAGTCCCTCCAACATGATGGCAAATGAAGCCCGTTACCCGGGGTGGGAGAATCGTCGGTCGGTCTTATCTTCCTGTCTATTGTAACGAGATTTGACATGAGTGAATGAGAGAGAGAGAGAGAGAGAGAGGCAAGACATACCTGGTGCAGCTCCAGCGAGCACACAGAAAACTCGCAGAAAACAACCGTCTCTGCCATCCAGTATTGTGGTCGATGGCAGCACGCGACAAGCGACCAAGGACAGGCAGCGAGCTCCTTCAATGAAGTCCCCCACAGGCAGTTAACAGACACGGAATAACCAACGACGATATTCCGGTAAACTGACGTCGTGAGGCGTTGGCGGCAGGCCGATCAATTGCGTAGCCGCTGTGAAGGTCCAGGGTGGTTCTTGGGGAAGCAGCTGGTCCCTCCGCCAGGCCAGGCCAAGTTGGGTCCAAAAGGGGGGGCTGCGTCCAGCAACGTGACGCGCGGTGCCACGGCCCACGGGGGTGTGACGTCGGTCCCTTGGAAGGTTGGGGGGCCTTGGGCACCAGGGTCCCGACTGGGTTTAGCGGCTTAGGGCTGTAGCCCTAACGCCTTGGTGCCTGGGGGTTCGGGCAGAAACAGCGCGGGTGGCTCGTCGCGCGTGCCGGAGCCCGCCCGGTTACGCACCTCAGCATCACCACTTGGGGAACTCCCCAAGGTTTGCTGCTTCATCACCAGCGAGTCTAGCTCAGGCCATTGCGCGGGTAACTGCCCTTCTCTCCACTCCGGAATCTCCTCTCTTGTCAGTCGCTGTGCAATTGGGTTAGTCTTGTGCGGCTTCCCCTTGATCCGAGCTTTCCAGCGCCGGTAAAAGAATTGACAAGATTACTTGCTGACCTTGCCTTGCCTGGCTCTCTTCTTACAGCTCCTTGACCACCACCACTATGTTCTACAGAACCGCTGCTGCTCGCTCTGCGCTGCGGGCTCTCTCGAGCTCCAACGCCGCCGTCGCCCGCTCGGGTGTCGCCCAGAATGTCTTCAAGGCCCAGCTCACCACTGCCACTCGTCCGACCCGTCTGGCGACCTCTTCCCGCCTGGCCCTGGCCACCCGCAAGCCGGTGACCACTGCTCTGATCCGTTATTCGTCCACTTCTGCCAAGGAGGTAGGTTATTCTTTGCTTCTGTTGTTTTTTGTTTCTCTCTTTCTCGGGCTATAAGGCTATTAGGTAATTGAGATGATTGCTAACGGTTTCATTCTGATAGGACGAGGATACCGACATGCTTGCCGGTATGAAGAGCGAAGCTGTACGTCTTTTTCTTCTTTTTTTTTTTATTATTTTCTTTTTAGATATAACATAATTCGATGAGCGGGGCTAATGGCGAACAGAAAGTGATCAAGGATACTTTCAGCTTGAAGGAGGTCCCCAAGGAGGCTCTGTTCCTCGGAATGGCCGGTGTCGTCCCGTACCTGGCTACCTCCCTTGAGACCTGCTACCTTGCCTACGAGGTCAACCGTGCCCAGCTCCTGGGCGACGGTCTGATCTTCTCCGGCCAGAGCGCCGAGTTGATGCTCCACATGCTCGAGCCTGTCCAGGTCGGATACGGCGCTGTTGTAAGTAGTGAACGCTATGACCAGCTCCTATCAGAAGTCTCTTTCTTTTTTTCTAACCACTGGAACTAGATCCTCTCCTTCCTCGGTGCCATCCACTGGGGTCTCGAGTGGGCTGGATACGGCGGCAAGTTCGGCTACAAGCGCTACGCCGCCGGAGTGATTGCCCCGGCTGTTGCGTGGCCGACTCTGCTGTTCCCCGTGGAATATGCGCTGATCACGCAGTTCCTCGCCTTCACCTTCCTGTACTACAATGATGCGCGTGCCGCCGCCGCCGGGCGTGCGCCTCACTGGTACGGCATGTACCGCTTCGTTCTGACCTTTGTCGTGGGCGCCAGCATTGTGGCCAGCCTGATCGGCCGCCAGCAGATCAACCAGAGCGCCAACCCGGAGCACACCATTGCCGACAAGATCAGCGCGCTCAAGTTCCTGGCCAAGAAGGAGGCTGAGGAGGCCGAGGCCAAGCGTCTGGCCGAAGCCGGCGAGGAGGATTCGGAGTAAAAGGGCAACATGGGGCCTGTCAAGTATACCACCAGTTGGATCGAGTCTCCACCATCGATGGCTTCATGTAGATTACGCGCCAAAATTCCCGCCAGCAGCCTTTCATTTGTTTTATATATCAGTACTGTTAGTGTAAACGTTGTAAACATGTCTTGGTAACATATTTAGTATCCCTCTATTCTTATAGTTACTAGGTAGTAGGTACTATTAATATGGAGACTTAAAGCCACTATTCTATCATTTTAGTCTTCAAATAAATCAGACGACAATAATTAGGATTCATAAGAATTCCCCGAAGTACCGAACCAAGAATTGAATGCTCCGTATCTAGGCATTTATTTCTACCGAGGACAATTTGTCCGCGGCACCCTATTGGTCTAAATCTAGCTTTTAAGTCTATGAATCACTGCATCGTCTATCTGTCTCTAGACATAGTCTGTACTACATTAGCACAATAGTACAGTAGTACAGTAGTACAGTAGTACAGTAGTACAGTAGTAGTATAATTAGTAGATACTTTTAGTACAGCATATGCAAGTATAGACTAGTTTGTACTCCATATGTGATAATTAGAGTAATTACTAACTAGTCCTGTAGTTCTAGTTCCTAGGTCTATCTGCTAATTGATAATTCTTCCGTGTAATTCCATGAATCACCGAAGAGATCGTCTCCGAGACGCCCAGACTATTAGGGTGGAAGCCAGCTAATGTAGGAACCAGCAGTCCACGTGAGCAGCCAGGATGTTCTAGATCGTGGAGGACTGGAGAAGGTATGCCGAGCAAGATAGTAAGTACAGTTATAATTTATAGAATATTATATTATGATATTTGATTACTACATTGCTAACAAATTATTCTTATATTATCTTATATTATTATATTATTATATTATTATTTTCTTCTTATATTATATGTACTATTATACTGCTATAACTTATTGTGGAAGTAGAATCTATTCTTGGCCTCGGTATACTTTCCAATACCTGTTGCACTCCTTCTCTAGCAGACTTGAGGTATAACTACCTATAAGAATATTTGTATATACTTATATATATAAGTATATATATATATATATATAATTAAATATATAATTATATAGACTTATGTATATATAATTATATATGATATATATAAAATACTATATAAATTATAAATCTTCAGGTCAACTGATCAATCTCCCCCACACACCCACTTCTTCTTCTCCGCCATGGAATTCCTCCTTTCCTCCTGGCATTCGCGATCGCTTCTTGCCTGGTCCACCGCGGCCGATAAAGAGCTCTCTCTCCTCTCCCTTTCTCTTCTTCTTTTCTTCTCAAGTAACTTCTCTCTCTTATCAAGTCCTACAACTAATATTATTAATCTTAATTCTCCACTCCCCAACCAGACCTTCTCTGTCCATCCCCACGCACGATCATCCGTACGTCATTATCCACACCCGCCGCCCATCGCTGCGATTTTGGTCCGCCACTGCCAGTTCCAGTCAATTTCTCACTCGTCATTCCGAGAGGAACCTGCTATCTCCTCTCCGCTCCTCCCCTCCTCTCCTCCATCCATTCCTCTATCGATTCTATCGATTCACCATGCGTCTCCCTTTCCCTTCCCCGAAACTCACCAAGAATCGTTTCATCTTTCCGGATATGGCCGAATCAAACGATGATGATCTACAACCATCGTCCACACACGAGATCACCGCAACGCAGACCCATGACGGTGACCGTTCCATCTTGCAGGACGAAGACCATCGCAATGATAACCTCAAGGATCGCTACATCGGTGCCATTGACCAGGGAACTACCAGCTCACGCTTCATCATCTTCGACTGTACAGGTGTCCCGGTCGCCTCGTACCAGACGGAATTCCGTCAGATCCATGAGCACTCGGGGTATGTATATATATATATATATATATTTTCATTTATCTGTCCGATTGGGTTTGCTAATTGATGATAGATGGCACGAACACGATCCCCTCGAATTGGTCGACTCCGTATATACATGTATAGAAGAGGCGATGAAGACCTTCCTTGCCCTGGGTCATTCGAAATGCGAAATCGAAGCCATCGGTATCACCAGCCAGCGAGAAACCACCTTGGTCTGGGATTGGCAGACGGGGGAGCCGCTTCACAACGCCATTGCCTGGCCCGACACCCGCACAAAACAGCTGGTCCGCGAGCTCAAGGAACAACCGGGCGCCGAGGAGCTGCTGAACATCTGCGGCATCCCCCTCTCCACCTATCCCTCCTCCGTCACCTTGGTCTGGATGCTCCGCAATTGCCCAGAGGTCCAGCGCGCCTACGAAGAGGGCCGCCTGGCCTTCGGCACCGTGGATTCCTGGCTGCTCTGGAACCTCAACGGCGGGCCCGACGGCAACCGCCTGGTCACCGATGTCACCAACGCCTCGCGCACCATGTTCATGAATCTACACACTCTCCAGTATGATGATCGCCTGCTCGACTTCTTCCAGATCGACAGGTCCAAAATCCGTCTCCCCAAGATCGTCCCTTCCTCCGACCCGGACGAGTTTGGCCGCGTCAGCAATGGGCCCCTCGAGGGTGTCCGCATCACCAGCTGTCTGGGCGATCAGTCCGCCGCCTTGGTGGGCCACTGCGCCTTCACCCCGGGCTCCGCCAAAAACACCTACGGCACCGGCTGTTTCCTCCTGTACAACGTCGGCGAGACCCCCGTCATCTCCAAGCACGGCCTTCTCGCCACCGTCGGCTTCCAGCTCGGCCGCAAGAGGAAACCTGTCTATGCTCTCGAGGGCAGTGTCGCCGTCGCCGGTAGCGGCGTCTCCTTCCTCATGAACAATATGGGTTTCTTCCGTGACTCCCGCAAGGTCTCAGAGGTCGCCGCAACAGTCCCCGACAACGGCGGCTGTGTCTTTGTCACCGCGTTCAGCGGTCTCTTTGCACCTTATTGGATCGATGATGCCAAAGGGACAATCTGTAAGTTCTTTTCCCTTTATTTATTTATTTTTTTTTTTTTTTCAAATCATCTGTTTTCTAAATCGTTCTTCAGTTGGCATCACGCAACACACTCAGCGCGGACACATCGCCCGAGCGACTATGGAAGCAGCCTGCTTCCAAACCAAGGCCATTCTTGACGCCATGGAGATGGACAGCGGACACAAACTGACGGAGTTGGCCGTGGATGGCGGCATGAGCAACTCCGACATTTGCATGCAGGTTTGTTCCTCTCTTTCTTTTTCTTTCTTTCTTTTTTTTTTTTTTGCCACCGGGGAAGTAAGAGGGTAGCAGCTAACTTTCCAGTCCCAATCGGATATCATTCAAATCCCCGTCGAGCGACCCGCCATGCACGAAACCACTGCCCTGGGTGCGGCCATCGCAGCCGGCTTCGCCATCGACGTCTGGAAGGAGTTTGATGAGCTCAAACACATGAACCGCGCTAACCGGACAACTTTCACTCCAAAGATCTCCAAGCCGCAGAGTGCCAAAATGTATAAAAAATGGTCCAAGGCCGTGGAAATGTCTCGCGGCTGGCTAGATGTCGACGAAATGGATTCCGAGTCCGCATAAATATAAGGATATTTGGTTTGGTCCCTGTTTGGCGTTTTCTTTTTAGCGTTGTTTTTTGCGTTTTCATCTGATTTCACCTGGTTTCATAAATATATATATTGGTCATTTCGTTGGCGGTAGAGACCTGTTTTTTCGGAGATACCCTCCCAGCCAACCACAACAGTATATAGATAGATGTCTAATGTTTACCTTGATGATTGAGACATGCCTTTTCCCTTGCTTCCTCTTTTCGTTTCTTTTCTCCTTTCTGGGAGGGGAAGGGGTCGAAGTTGAAGGATGATCCTTTGCCTGGTGGGTCTCTCTCTCTCTCTCTCTCTCTCTCTTTCCGACCAAATCTTTTGCTGATGGCCGCTTCACAGTTCAACCTTCACACTCAACCTTTGCGTCGGTCTGACCACACCACACCGACATGGTGAAAAGAAACCCCCGTCTCTGGACTAGCCTCGAGTCGGAGTCTGTAAGACTCTGTCAATCACGGAAAACAATTCCTCGTGGGTCTTTCTCCCACGAAGTCACCAAGCCACCGACGTCTTGCGCTTTTAACTAACAAGGCCACCTAGGTACGCGGAAAACAGGCTCCTACCAATAATGATATGATAACAGAACTCTCGGACATGTGCTTTCCCGGAGGGAAGGGGGGACACGCGATCAGACCTAAGCCTGAGAGTCTACTGCCTACCTACAACCATCTTCCGGAGTCCGGAGCACAAACGACCCTCCCTCTTCCCCCCGAACGACCAGGGTGATTCCATGGAACATTCTGATGATTCGACAGGGGTTCGTGGCTTGACACCGGCGGTCTGCGCCTCTGCCTTGCAGCGCCAAGTCCTTAACGACGCACACACAACGCACGAACGTCACTTTTTTTCGGGGTTTCTCAGGTGTTCAACACTTTTGACCCACGCCTCCGTACTACAGACTTAGAAAGTACTTCGTTCTACTCCGTACTACTGCGTAAGTACGGAGTTACTGTGGCAATGTAAGATGAGAACAGATTTGTGGCTTGCTCGGTAGCAGTCAGTGTGCCGTCGGTCTGTATTCTTTCTACGGAGGATAGAAAGTTCGAGGCCCGTACGGCAATACCGAGTACTACCACACGATCCTTCATTGTCTTGTCTTGAGAGTACAGTCGGACTACGGAGACATTGGTACTCTTAGCCAGGGTTAGGCCAAGGACACCACATCCTGCATGGACCTTTTGCATCCTTTTCGACTCCGTTTGTTCTAGGATGCAGACATCCCACCAATCTCAACCAGGGTGAGCCGTCCCACGAAATAAGTATCGCACGACAATTAAAGAAAAAAAATTTTTTCTCTCTCTCTCTCTCTCTCTCTCTCTCTCTCACTCTTCCTCTTCCGGTCTGGCCTCCATCTACTGGCTCAAGAGAAACCTGCGCCTTACAAACCGAAATTTTTCTCCTTGGGGTTAAGAAATTAAACGGCGTTGGGGCCAACTCATGCGCCACCAGGAAGAAGCTTCATGAACTTATTTGCCTTGGAAAGTAAAAAAAAAAAAAAAAAAAAAACTGGCCGTCATAATCACCGACGAAGTCAAGACTCCACTGGTCGTTTTAAGGAGTATAAGAGTGCCACTTGATGTTCCTATCAGATTGTCTCGTTTTATATTAGCCCTCCTACTACCCTATTACATACGGACCCTACTACATACGGAACTACTACCTCATGTGCGACCATAACCAGGTCAACTTCCGATGCGGACACCACCGCTTCCTAGTGATAGCGTGGTGCGCCGTCTACGCGCGGACAGGCAAGACCTGTCCATTGAACGTCGTGAGCATGTAAGAAAATGATGATGCCGTGTGTGTATGTTTGTGTGTGGATGATACATTTGTCTCTGGCTAACTCTGCCAGAGAGGATCGTATAGATGAAGACTGTGGTATGTTGTCCAGCCATTCCGTAGTACTGTAGATGATCTTATGGAGTTTCCATATACATATATACTCTCTAGCTGACTTTTCTAGGAAACTGTCGAAAATGAGATAGAATAGAATATATCCAATACCATGGAGTTTACGGAGTACGGAGTACGGAGTAGGGGTGCCAGGTATACTGTAGATACAGGTAAGATAACCACCACTACTACTACTACTACTACTAAACAGTACTTATTGAATACCTGTGTATTCATTTAGATAGTAAGGTATTACCTAATGTAGGTATGTAGTAGGTACTAGGTATAATCCTGAGATGATTAGACGCCAATCGGATGCGTCCCGGATCCTGTAATTTACTACATACAGTCAACTACCTACTACTAGGTAGGGAGAGAGTTACAGGACAAGTGCTAGGATAGCTACATTGATATACATACTACATACTGACGCTGCTAAGCTGGAAATGACACTGGTGATGATCAAGCATTGCTCGCGGTATGGCTTGACGGCTCCTCGGCCGCCCTAGCCGGCCGGATGGGAGCAGTCTGCAGCGCCTCGGGCAGCTTGAGCGGCGCCTCAGGCAGGGAGCCGAGTTTCTCCAGTTTCTCGCCACGGAGGACCTTCTCCATCTCCTCCTTGGTGAGCGTCTCGTACTCGAGCAGCGCCCGCGTCAGCAGCTCCAGCTCCGTGCGCTTCTCCGTCAGGATCTTGGATGCCCGCGCCGTCGCCTCGTCTACCAGTCGGCGCACCTCGGCTTCGATCTCCTGCTTCGTCTCCGAGGAGAGCCGGTTGTAATTGGTCGACAGGTCCACGTTGCCCAGTTTCTTCGAGTACCCGAATTGTGTCACCAGCGTGAATGCCGTTTCCGTAGCGGATTGGATGTCCTAAACATGATTAGTATAGAATAAACAACCACAACAAACACACACTCCGTAAAAATCACTTGATAGACATACCGCTGAAATACCACTGGTCACTTTGTCGGGCCCGAAAATTAGCTCTTCGGCAGCCTTGCCGCCCATCGCAACGTCAATATCTGCCAGATACTCGGTGTAGTTCCGCGAAACCAGGTCCATCTTGGGCAAAAAGTGGGTTACCCCCAGAGCCATGCCGCGGGGAACAATGGTGATCTTGTACAGCGGGGTCGCAGATGCCGAGAAGTAGGCGACAAGAGCATGCCCGGCTTCGTGGTATGCCGTCAGGAGCTTGTCTTGGTCCTGGATGATCCGGCTGCGAGCCTCGGCGCCCATCATGATCTTATCCTTGGCCCAGTCGAAATCGAGGGGTCCAACCTTGGTCGACCGGTTCCGGCTGGCGTGGATTGCCGCCTGGTTGACCAGGTTCTCCAGATCGGCGCCGGAGAAGCCCGGCGTGCCCCGCGCCACCACCTGCAGGTCGACGTCGGCGCTGATCTGGATATCCTTGGTGTGGTGGTTGAGAATGTCGATGCGGCCTCGCACGTCCGGCAGGCCCACGACAACCTTGCGGTCAAACCGTCCCGGTCGGGTCAGGGCCTTGTCCAGTAGCTGTGGGTAGTTGGTCGCGGCGATGATGATCACCCCGCTGGTCTGTGAGAATCCATCGAGCTCGGTGAGCAGCTGATTCAGCGTCTGCTTCACATACGCCGCGTCGCGCTCGTTGCGTTTCGCACCAATAGCGTCGAGCTCGTCAATGAAGATGATCGCGGGGGACTTGGCTCGTGCCTGCGCGAATAGGTCGCGCACGCGCTTGGCACCCACACCCACGTACACCTCATCAAACTCCGAGCCAGACATGTAGAAGAACGGTACCCCGGCCTCACCGGCAACGGCACGGGCAAGCAGAGTCTTGCCAGTACCGGGGGGTCCCACAAGCAAGACACCCTTGGGCAGTTTGCCGCCGAGAGAAGAGAACCGTTCCGGGTTGAGCAAGAACTCGACCAGCTCCTGAAGTTCATCCTTGGCTTCATCGCATCCATGAACGTCGCTAAACCGGACCTTCTGCTGTTCCGGTTGGGCTTCGTTGCTTTGCGGGCCCCGGATGTTCTTCAACACCCCGGTGGTTTCGACAAGAATGGTGACCAGGACGAGAGACATGTACGCGAAAAAGCCAAAGTAGAGCAGGAATTTGATCCAACGGAATACTGCACTGCCCAAGGATTCTTCCACCACGACATACAGCGGTGCTTCCTTGGCCCCGGTGCCAGTCTGCCGCGTCGCCATGCCGATGGAGTTGCCGTAGTTGCGAGCCGCGACAGCCTGGCCGATGGCCTGGAGCTGCTCCGAGCTGAGGTTCTGGTTTTGATCCTGGATCTGCGCCGCAGCCACCGAGTCCGCGCCCCCGACACGCTGGAGAGCCTTCAAGAAGACCGCCTCGGACGCGGAGTTGCTCGCAAAATGACCGCTGCGATACCGCTCGACCACGATGGCCGGCATGTTTGCACGGAGAAGAGCCTGGTAGAACGTATTCTGCACACTGGGGTTGTTCGGGTTATTGTTCGCGGTCTTTTCCATCTGCGCAAGGACGTTCTGCGCCGAACTTCCGAACAGAAACCGCTGTTGTTGCCACTGCGACAAACCGTCGACCTTGGGCAGGCGGCGTAAAGAATCAAGTCCAAGTGGTGACGAGAGAGCAGAGTAGGAACGGGAAGAGGTGGGATTAATGCGAAGGCCGTTGGCCGCAGTCGAGGTCCAAAGTGTGTTGCCTAATAGAACACGACGATGTCAGGATACCAAAAAACAAACATTATTCCTAAACTCAACTTACCCTTCTTATTGAATCTCGAGGAAAACCGGCTGGGATGCACTGGCCGTATCATCGCACTCCTCTCCAAGACGTCCAGAGAGACTTTGCCTAGGCACTCCGGCAACGACAGACGCGGAGCCATCTACCAGCCATTAACTTCCATACCAACATACCAAGCCAATATCAAAAAAGAAAAGGTTCCGGAGACAACATACCGCTATGTTCTCTTGCGTCTCACCTCGTCTGGCGGGGCTCTGGGACATCGAGCGTCTCTGGAGGCCATTTGCGGGCAGATGGCCGCTGAGCCCCCTCCAAGGCGCGGCAACAACATTGGACATGGAAGGCCAGAGATCTGAGGTGATGATTGATAAATTCTGTAAAAACAAAACACACATATCAACTCAGAGAATGAACACTCAACAAGCAAATAGCAGGTCAGTCTGCTTACCGGCCGCGAAACAGGGAGTGGGAGAACCATGACTGTTCCGAAAACCAGCGGCACACGGCCGCGAACGTGAGAGAAGTTGTGACTCTTCCTCAAAGGATTGATCTGAGAATCTCCGTCAGAGGTAGTGAGCGATCAGTTGCAAGTAGAAAAAACGTCCATCGCGGACGCGAAGATGGCGAAAGGGAAGGAGGCGAAGATCCGATCTGGTGTCTGGCGTGTTCCGGGGTCGGCCTTTTGAGTCCATGGAAGGGAAGACGTTGAGGCGAATTCTTGTTGCTGCCTTGGTGCCTTAGGCCACAGGTCAGGTGACATCAGAGGAGCCGTGAATCGTGATTCGTGAATGTCCTTCAATCTGTCCACCCGAATAACTACCTTACTTTGGATCAGAAGGCTGCTCTGGCTCTTAGAACGGGAGAAAAGAAATTATAAGACTGCTAACTGCTTCTTAATTCTCGTTGAATTCGTTTGGCTGTCGCCATCGCTATTGCAGTCTTGGCATCCTCCAAAACGATTGAACGGTTTACTGACTTTCCCTGGTCGCTGCCTAATCTGCCGTTCCAACGAACGACTTCCCACCGGGCTGGAGAGAGAAACTGGATGCTGGATCATCGAGGGAAGCAGGTTTGATGCTGGCTGAGTGACTGCTCGATGCCGACCCGTTTAATCTTCCTGACCGGAAGCCCGATTTCGCAGAACTTGTGCTGGAAGGAGGATGGGTTGCTCTGTGGGCCGATTGCTCCCTTCACTTCCGATATAGTCGAGGATGTTGAGGCTTGCCGGTCCGCGGAGGGTCATACAGTGAGGTGGAGGCAACTGCGGCAATGGAATGCCGACGATCTCGGGCTAGAGACGACTGTCTTCCTCGCACCGCAGCACTTTGCGGCGAGCGATGAAGAGAGGCAGTCGGTGACGGGCACAGGAAACCTCGTTATCTCGCAGTTCTACGACCATTCATTTACAGTCCACGAAACCTCGGAGATATCCGTCTCCCAAGATTCAATACAAGAGAGCGATCTGCAGACAGAGAGCTCTGGACGCTCTCTTATCTCTGCGTTACCACCGTCCTTGGACGCTGCAGCATCTGTGCCGTTGCATGGGCAGCTGAGCGATCTAGAGGACGTCCCGAATGCAAACTATCTTCTCTCTATTGCGCCGCAGACCATGTCGGTCAATCTTGTCGTAGGAGTCATCACCGTACGTCCCCCACGCCGCGTGGTAACTCGGCAATGGAAGAGGGAACTCGAGATCGTCGAGCTGGTGGTCGCAGACGAGACGAGGACTGGGTTTGGCGTCACCGTTTGGCTGCCTGCGCTGGAAGCCAGCCACAGCTCTCACGACCACGAGCTTCGCCGCACTCTGAGTGCTCTCCGACCGCGAGACATCGTCTTATTGCGGACGGTCGGCCTGAGTGTCTTCCAAGACCGGGTGTATGGTCAGAGTCTGCGGCGAGGGCTGACCAAGATCCATTTGCTGTACCGACGACCGGTCGACCTCACCGACGCAGGCGGTGTCTACGACCTGCAAGCGATCAACAGCAACAACGCAACCGGTCCGAGCGACGATCTGCTCCTGGTCAGAGTGCGCCGAGTGCGTGCATGGATGTTGCGTTTTGTTGACAGCGGCCCGGATCGGGAAGGCGGTGAGGCTGGACTGCTGCCCCCGGATACGCAGTGAGAGAAGAGGAAAATAATGATCCATACACACCTGTTGATGGCCTCAGTCGCTGCAAGAATAATATGATGAAGAACAGAACAAGGCTTGGCTGCCGAAATCATCGATGAACCGTGGTTAGATCTCATGATGGTGCGGAGTACAGCTTTGCTACACCTGACGGGTCCCAAAATAAACCGGCAGGGATGCGTCGCCATCTAGTCCGAGATCACCACCCATCCCATGACCGTTGTATGGTTTCAGATTTCCGGCCTGAGACTTGCGGAATTCATTCGGTGCTCGCTCTACTGAGCGCGGGGAAGCCGAGGCTGCGTTCCCCGATCCAGTCACCAGCCCAAGCACGAGGAATGTGCAGCCGACCGGGATGGAGATAGGCCATGTGTGACATGAGGTCTGGAACACCCGAAGCCACAACGCGGCAGTGGGATGGATATTGAAGGTAGAGACATCCGACAATGAGGAGTCGAGCCATCGTCGCAAAGGTCCAGGAAGGAGATTGGGGCTGTGTAGGAATACTAGGAATAACTACTAGGAATCCTAGACTGTAGGGGCTGGACTAGAGCTCCAGTAGAATAGTTCTATAGTGACCCTGATCCACCGACGCCGCTTCGATCTTTAGCAATTGTACCGAAGCATTCCCATTTCATTTGCTCTGGGTGAATTATTTGTTTGGTTTTAGGTTTTTTTCGCTCTCGTTTTCTTGGGGCTGCCCCTTAATCCAACAAGGGCTGTGGCGGGCCATGGCTGATGCGCTGCAAACGTGCCACTTTCCGCCCGCGTTCCACTCGCCAGAGCAAAATAAGAACAACGCCAGCTGTTCCCTTTGCCTCTCCTATCCTCGATCTACCTGAGCTCCTCCCAGTGTGCTTTTCCTGAGTAACTAACGCAGACAACCCGATCTATTTCTTTCCCGCACCGTTCATTGTCTCTGGCTGTCTGCCTGTCTTTTTTGATTCCTCTACCTCCCGCCCTCTTCCCCTCGTTACACACGTTTCCTGGCCCCTCCTCCACCGTGGCCTGAGGGATCTATCTGACCGGCAAACCGTTTGATATCAATCTCCCTGTTTCTTGCCCCCCCCCCACACACATACACACCATCACCATGAAGGGTACGTGTCGAAGCTGTGGTGGAAAGACAGATGGAGAAGACAATTCCCCAGAGCTGACCGTCTTGTAGCTCTTATTCTTGTCGGAGGGTTTGGTACCCGTCTGCGCCCGTTGGTGAGTTCCCAGTTCCTAGTTCCCACCCCGCCGACGATCTCCATCGATCGTGGGCGGGGGAAACGGCTGTTGAGAGCTAGAGTTACTTATATATATATATACAAATGGACTTTGAACGAACTGACTCGGTTTGCGATTAGACTCTGACGCTCCCCAAGCCTCTCGTCGAGTTCGGAAACCGGCCGATGATCCTGCACCAGATCGAAAGCCTGGCGGCCGCGGGCGTGACGGATATTGTGTTGGCGGTCAACTACCGACCGGATATTATGGTCTCGACGTTGAAGAAGGTTAGCTCATTGGAATTGATTGAGGAGATAGATATACAGAGGGGGGGAAGAGCGGGTGCTAATGGTTACATTACAGTACGAGGAGCAATACAATGTCAAGATCGATTTCTCGGTCGAGTCCGAGCCCCTCGGGACGGCAGGCCCCCTGAAGCTGGCAGAGAAGGTCCTGGGCAAGGATGACTCGCCGTTCTTTGTTCTGAACTCGGATGTCATCTGCGACTACCCGTTCAAGGAGCTGGCCGAGTTCCACCGGCGCCACGGGCAAGAGGGCACCATTGTGGTGACCAAGGTGGACGAGCCATCCAAGTACGGCGTGGTCGTGCACAAGCCCAACCACCCCTCACGCATCGACCGCTTCGTGGAGAAGCCCGTCGAGTTTGTGGGCAACCGCATCAACGCCGGTATCTACATCCTCAACCCTAGTGTGCTGGACCGCATTGAGCTGCGCCCCACCTCGATCGAGCAGGAGACTTTCCCGGCCATCTGCAAGGACGGCCAACTACACTCCTTTGACCTCGAGGGCTTCTGGATGGATGTCGGCCAGCCCAAGGACTTCCTGACCGGCACCTGCCTCTACCTGACCTCACTCGCCAAGCGCAACTCCAAGCTGCTCGCCGCCAACTCGGAGCCCTTTGTCTACGGTGGCAACGTCATGGTCGACCCCTCCGCCAAGATTGGCAAGAACTGTCGCATTGGCCCGAACGTGGTCATCGGGCCCAACGTGGTCATTGGTGACGGCGTCCGCCTGCAGCGCTCGGTGCTCCTGGAGAACAGCAAGGTCAAGGACCACGCCTGGGTCAAGTCCACCATCGTCGGCTGGAACAGCTCTGTCGGAAAGTGGGCGCGTCTCGAGAACGTCACCGTCCTTGGCGACGATGTCACCATTGCTGACGAGGTTTATGTCAACGGAGGATCCATTTTGCCTCACAAGAGCATCAAGCAAAACATTGATGGTAAGTCACCTCCCTCTCTCTTCTGTATTTGCCAAATCATCTCGCCTCTAACTAATTATCTAGTCCCCGCGATTATCATGTAATCCTCACGAACAAATTCCCTTTGAACGTCCTTCCGCCCCTCCCCCCCAAATCTCACACCTCGTCGCTCAGATGCATGGAACCGGAGTCCTGCTTTGTCGTCTTCTATGCTTTGTCGGGTTCAGACGCTCTTCTCGCTCAATTCCTTGCCTCAAAAAAGGCCTTGACCGCTCCCCTCTTTTTTTTCCTTCTCGGAGGCATCATCCATACACCTTGATGGTTTGGAGCGTGCCTTTTTTTTGCCTTTTTTTGAACTTGTTCTCTTTTTTTTTTTTACAGCAATCCGCCCCGATTGTTCTTTTTTTTAACTCTTCTCTTTTGGATGGCTGTGGATTGCTCCTCTCACGCGTTTTATCCCGTCTCCTGGTTTATGGGATCGCTATATCCGATTTAATGATGTATGTGGGCATAGGGTCTGTAAATACAAAATAATCGTTGTGGTCATATTAATATGTAGTAGATTAGGGCTCGTAGATTAGTAGTTCACTAAATAGTACAGTTAGAAGAAGAGTAGTAGAAAGAGGTTCGTTCGCTCATTTAGGAACCCTCCTCTCGATCCAGGATTTCATCCCACTGAACCCTCAACTCCTCCATCTCGCGCCAACACCTCCGACCCAACTCCTCGAAATGCTCCTTCGCCTCGGGCGTGAGAGTCGTGGCGCCACGCTTGCGCCGCTGCACACGATCCCGCTCTACGACCGGCTCCCCGACCACACCAGCGTACCCCCATCCCTCGATCTCCGTGGAGGCGATGCGGCTGCGCCCGATCCAGTCACAAGCGGACCCCCATTTGGGACGCCCGCCTCCGTGCATTCGATATGGTTCCTCTGCGGCGTCGATGTCCGCTTGCGGCGAGAGGGCAAGCCACACGGACGACGCGGCGCCCAGGTACGTCGATAGCGTGTGCCAGGGGGATCCTAGCAAGCGGGCCATCCAGAAGGCCAATAGCATGGCGTAGACGAGCGGTAAGGCGAGCGGCATGATGGCCGTTGCACAGATACCCGGGTGAGAAAGGTAGACTTTTGGTTCTTCTTTTTCCCTTTCTTTATTGGATGTAACTGGGTTATCGTCAATGGCGAGAAATTTATTCACCCACGGCGCGGTGGAAGGGAGGTCGGAGGTAAGCGCGAGAAGATCGGTCAACGCCTTGGAAGACTGGTAGGTGAACGAGGAGCGGAGGCCCTGGATGTCGTCGATGTCGAAGTGTTCGATCGTGGCTTCCAGGCTGGAGACCCAGACGACGCGCCCCGGTCCGTTGGGCGCGCCCGAGCGCCGCAGCAGAGGCATGACGTTGTGCGCGAGCATGTAGTGGCCGAATACATTGGAACAGAAGACGAAACCCAGGGGTGGTTCGTCTTGGCCTTCTTTGCTTTGCTGGATTTGTGGCTTTGTCAACACGCCAACTTCCGACAGTTTATACCACGGCCAGGAGAGCGCGTGGACTAGATCCGTGCACACGCCCCAGATTGTCTGCGGCCAGTTGACGCCAGTGAACCCCCCACTGCCGGCGTTGAGGATGATCGCGTCGAGTTTCGGCATCGAGGCCACCAGGCGCCGCGAGAGAGCTCGCACGGAGACCAGATCGGTCAGATCGACATTCTCCGAGACGAAGGTCACCCGGTCGGCGATGGGGGACGACGATTTCGACGACCGGCGAAGGTATTCGTGGAGTCGGGTGATGGTCTCATTGCCCTTCTTCGTGCTCCGCGTGGTGAAAATCACGGTCAGGCTCTGCGTCGGTGGATGTGTTGCGAGGAATTCGTCCGCCAGACGGCAGCATATCGAGAAGCCTACGCCGCTAAATGATGACAGTGTTAGTAAGAGATACTTAGACTCGTTCAGTAAGACCAATTGTGCAATCACCTATTTGCGCCTGTGACCAGAACAAAGGTCTGGTCTTGCAGACCTCCATGCCGTGGCTCGGCGCTCATCATGTTGTTTTATGTTTGTATTGTTTTAATTGAATTGTTTTTGACCCGGCCCAGACGAAATATCTAGATGCTGACTCATCAGGGGTCGGAGTCACATGATTTTTGATAGCTATGCCACTATGGCTATGCTGCTATGCTGCTATGCTACTATTCTACACGGCCAGGTCATAAGTCTTTGGCCATTCTTTTCTGATGTGGATATCCTCATGGCAAAATATCATACTCATGGCAAATTGAATATATACAGGAGCCCCGTGACCTTCATCTCCCCTCTGCCCGTTCGACCAGTCGATCTTCCAAGCCCATCGGTTCCCAGAGGTCTTTGGCCTTCTTGTTCTGTGTCCAGACGACGTCGCCTTGAATGAAAGCGACCACGCCGCCTTTGCCTGTTGCGCTGGCAGTGATGCGGAACAAGGGCTGCCCGTTCTGCGGATGGGCTTCGCGTAAGGGAAGCATAATCAGACCCTGCTCGGCGCACCAGACCTCCAGGATGTCCTTGAAGGCAACCTCCTCCGCTACTTTGGGTTTGCGTGGAGCTTGTGCAGGAGGAACATCTGAAATAGCTGGCTGTGCTGCTGCGGTCTCCTTGGCTGTCTGGGTTGTTGCTGTTGTGGCTGTTGGCGGGGGGAGTTCGGCGGCGGCGCGGTCGCCCAAACGAGAAGCCCGATCCATGGTAACGAGGCCCTTTGTCCATTCTTCATCAACAATTTTGAGCTGATTGATTTCCTCTGGGAACTGGCTGCACCACCAGGAGAACCATTCTGCGACTTCTTCGTAGTTGGGGTCGTTGGTCAGCCAGACGTAAAGAATCTGGTGCCACTTGGGGAAGAACTCGGCGACAAGGAGCAGGCCAATCACGTTCAACTTGAAGAATGGCTTCCACTTCAATACGTCTTCTAGTGCCGTCAGATCTTGATCTTGCGGGTTGACTTCAAAGTCTTCACGGAGGTGACGGGCCAGGCGCGGCAGGAGGTGGTTCCGCAATGACACATCGAATTCTGACCCTAGGGCGTCTTTCCACAGTTCAACCCCGTTGATGAGACCCTGGCGGATATCCCAGGTATCCAGTACCACGCGGAATTTCCGTTTTGCATCCGACAGAAGACCAGTGGCATGCTTCGGGTTGGTGTGGCGTTCGTCCAGATACTGCAACCAGGTGAAGAGCCACCATGGGAATTTCTGGGAATGCTGACGTGATGATCCATGGCGCCTGCTACTACTTCTCGGTTTCCATTCTTTGAGAGCATTGCTCAGCTTTGGAACCACAAGCTGGTCCAAAACGTTGGTGTAGATGAACGGCGGAATAATTTCTTTCCATGCCACGACCAGAGCGGTAGCTGGTGCAGGATCGTAGACATCCCAGTCGTTGAGAAGGGCTGAGCGGACCCGAGGCAACCACAAGGTGTAGATCATCGTCTCATAGGGCGACGTAGACTGCCGGTGTTTGTTTTCTTCGGTAGACTTTCGGGAGAGGAGGGGGAGAAGACGGCGAAGATGCGATACCAACAAAGTCGGCTCCTTGAGCGGTTCCCAATCTTCCATCGCCTGGCGAAAGAGAGGATGGATGGCAGCAACAGCAGTCTCCGATAGTCGGTAGTCATCGACCATCTCACGGTATGCCGACTCGATGGATTCCAATTTCCCCGTGAGTTGATCGAACCGGGCTATCGTATCGTCCTCAGTAAAGATCTCTAGCTGTCCCACTGCCGCGATAAGCTGTCCGAGCTGGTCTATCTTGTGCTGCTGAGTGTCCAGTTCTTCGACCGTCTGGGCCTCCTCCATCTCGATATAATTCTTGCGTTCCGTCAGACCCTTCCACTCGTCCGCAAAAGCTTCCAAATCTGTACGCGCACGTCGGGCGATCTTGAGCGCCTCTCCTTCACTCTCATTCACGAACTCTAGCGGGGCCATCAGCCCTGCGGTGGACGTTAGAACCCTCTGTTCTTTGCCAGTGGCGTCGATGAGGGACTTGAGCACATTGGGGACCTCAAGGCCCGCCATATCATCCTCCATCTCACGAGCAGTCCGGAATTTGGGCTTCGCTCGCGGTATCGGTGTGCCCGTCGCACTGCGGCTATCTCGCTGTTGCTTCTTCTCCTCCCTCCTCTTCTGTCGTCTCTTCCGTTCTTCATCGGAACTGTCTTCCAGAACCTCTCCCCTCCGTGCTGCCTCGCGTTTTTCTTCCTCGCGGGCTTGTTTTGTCTTCTCGCGCACACCACCCAACCCAATACCCTGTGGGCGGGCCTGCACCTCGATGGGGTTGACGATACCCTGTCCACTCGAACCCAGACCCTGGCCTTCTTTGTACCCCATTTTTGCCATCATCCGTGCTGCAAACGAATTTGCACCGGTCCCCGCACCTCCCTTCCCACCGGTCTTTGGGTTCCCTCCTCCTCCTCCTCCTCCTCCTCCTAGTCCTCTGTGTGCTGCGTTCATCGTGTTACTCCACGGACTGCGTCTCCCACCTCCCAACCCCGATGAAGGGGGCGACTCCGACCGAGAAGAGGCCCTCGCAAAGCCGCGGAACCCAAACGACGGGCGCGACTCTTCCTCGTCGGAGGAGCTCATGTCGGCGATTTTGCGCTTCTGCCCGGCAGACGGCGAACCAGGTGGCGAATCCATGGCTGCTGCAATCGACCGATGCAACAGAGCAAGCGATAGGGGGCTCGCAGCACACCTAGCACATTATTATTCGCTGTCGACTGCTCGAGAAAGCTGGTCGTGGAAGATGCCTTAGCAAGTCACGGGACTGCCCGATAGGGACTGGGAAGGTAGAGCTGTGGCCGGCCGGAAGAAAATAGGTCCGGGCCGGAAACAATGACGTTAGCGCGATGGGAATCCGGCTTCAACCTTCGACTGCGTCGCTCTTCGCTCTTGTTGGATTGCAGATTTCTCGCATTATCATTGCTTGTGTCCATCTCGTGCATCATGTCTGCTACTCTGTTCCGCTCTTCTGCCCGCGCTGCTGTGCGCGCCGGAGCTTCCGCAGCTCCTCGGGCTTCCGGTATTGCGGGCATGACCTTTGCCCGCGGCAAGGCCACTCTGCCTGATCTTGCCTGTATGTGTTCATTCTGACATTCAATCTGTCGTGATTTTTCCATTACTATTACGTTATTATATATACTTTTTGTCGTTGGTGGTGGTGTTGTTTAATATTATCCCGTTGAGCTATTTTGCCATTATCCGAGGAAATTGCCGAGGACGTTATCAACACGATGAGAAATACTGAAATGAGACAGACGACTATGGCGCTCTTGAGCCTTCGATTTCCGGCAAGATCATGGAGCTCCACCACAAGAACCACCACCAGACCTACGTGAACAGCTACAACACCGCGCTGGAGCAGCTGCAGGAGGCCCAGCACAAGGAAGACATCGCGGCCCAGATTGCGCTCAAGCCGTTGATCAACTTCCACGGAGGTGGCCACATCAACCATACCCTCTTCTGGGAGAACCTGGCCCCCAAGAGCGCCGGTGGCGGCGAAGCTCCCTCCGGCGCGCTGTCCAAGGCCATCAACGAGTCCTACGGCAGCCTGGACGAGTTCCAGAACAAGTTCAACACGGCCCTGGCCGGTATCCAGGGCAGTGGCTGGGCCTGGCTGGTCAAGGACAAGCAGACCGGTGACATCTCCATCAAGACCTACGCTGTAAGTACACCTTTTCAAATCACCATCCACTCTGTATACTGCTGTATACTCATTTTCTTTTTAGAACCAGGACCCTGTGGTCGGCCAGTTCACTCCCCTCCTCGGCATCGATGCCTGGGAACATGCCTACTAGTAAGTCCCTTTATACTGTCCCTTTCCACCAAAGAAAACAAAACTCATTTCTTACCCTTTATAGCCTCCAGTACCAGAACCGCAAGGCCGAGTACTTCAAGGCCATCTGGGAGGTTATCAACTGGAAGACCGTCGAGAAGCGTTTCTCGTAAGCGTCGGTTAAGCAGTACCACTCGGGACATCACTGCTACGTGTAATTATATCTAAATCTACTTGTTGCCGGATAGTCCCCATAGAAGTTAGTCTTGGGATATATCTTTTCAACCAAGTTCCATTCTAATCTTCCAAAATACCGTCTCTTGTTTACAATCCAAACGCCCAAGACCAGGCCCTGATTACTAATAACTGCTGACTAATACTGACCACTCGTGCAAAAGCGGTGATGAAGGCGGTCGGAACAAATCCCGGGTTTCAGCGGATCATGACATGACATCTTGTTCCCATCTTTCTTCGACATCAGTTCTTCCTGTTCCTATGAGCAATTGTTTTGTGTGACTCCGTGCTGACCATGTCTGTCGATAGTCCCGGCCATCAAAGCGGCGTCAAGTCGTTCTTCAGCGGCGTGCTGCGGCCCAAGAAGTCGCGCCAGGTCCTTCGGAAGAGCGGCGCGTCGAACCCCAACCTGCGTCAAACAGCGTCCAGGCAGGGCAGCAAGCTGAGCAGCGACTTCGATGGGAATGAAGGGGTTCCAGACCTGCCGCCCCTGGCACCACTGGAGGCCCATCGGCTCAAATACCGGGCACTGCATTCCCAGGTCGACAAGCAGCTGGGCGAACGGCAGGACTACACCACCATGTTTCATGCCTTAGGCATCCAAGACAACTCCGAGTCCGCCGGATTCGTGGCGGAAGACGACAGCTTCCGCCCGCCGGGGGACCACGATGTGGCTAGTCTCTCTGCCGAGCTGTGGGCGGGCATCGCTATGTACCTGCCACTCAGTGATGCTGCAGCCCTGGCGCTGGCTAGTAAGACGCTGCTGCAGCGGCTGGGGACTGGGTACTTCTCGGCGCTGGAAGATCCCGATCATCACCGTGATAAGATCGGGTTCCTGGTGAGGTTGGACAGTCAGCTGCCTCTGCATCTGCTCTGTTTCCCCTGTGCGCGGTATCACCGCCGGATCAAGCCCGGTCAGGAATGCCTGCAGCCGGCGAACGTGGTGGACCCGATCTTCAGCTGCCCGGAAGCTCATAACTCGCTGAACCCGCCGCCGCGCCACCGGCTGACGCACGGCCGCGTGCTGCCGTTCTCCTTTGTACAGCTGACGACGCGGGCGCAGCGGTTTGGGGCTCCCGTATACGGGATCCCCGCCGAGGCACTTAGCCGGCGATGGAAACGTGACGGCTGGACACACAACACGCGCTACCTAGTTCACCAGAACCGGCTGCTAGTGCGAGTGGTGAGCTCAGGCTTCGCCGACCCGGGCATGCCTCTCTCCGCGCAGCGCATGCTGCTCTACTCGCGCGAGGACTACTGGCCGTTCTTTAGTGCATGCGCGCACTGGCGCGACGGGGAGCTCATGGACGCCTGCAAGTGTGCGCTGGGCCATATTCCACGCCCGCGGGCCACGGCCGGCCTGCAGGGCGCCGAGGCCCGTGTGCGCGACGCCTTCGCCGGCCGCGCCTACAACCCCAACTCCTTCACCACCCTCTGCAATAAATGCCGCCCGATGCGCCGCTGCCCGGAGTGCCCGTCCGAGTACCTCATCGAGATCCGCCTGACAGAAGACAAGTCCGACCCGCGTAGCAGGCATTTCCGCCACGCCATCGTCGTCACCCGTTGGAGCGACCTGGGCGACGGCTCTTCCCCGCTAACATCCCCGGAATGGGCCGCGTGTAATGGCGAGAGTTCCCCGGATCAGCCCTACGACTCCTTCGCCCAGCTTGGCCGCCGCTCCATCTCCGGCATCTTCGAGTCCGCCTTCACCCAGGAGACCATCCCGGGACAGCGCATCATCAGTCTGAATCCCAAGGGTGTCAAGCTCGGTGAGAATGGACACGGCTGGTACTAATACTTAATGATCTTTTACCTTTTTTTTACCTTTTTTTCCAATTTCAGGGATACACAGGCACACTCGTTCAGCAATGTGCAGGACACAAAATTGAGGAATACAAGTGATCAGGCGTCGGGTGGTTTCCAGTTAGATTGGCTTATTAATGAATACCTAGGTAGCTACGAAATGAAAAAGTCTTTTTTTAATCAGGTAAAAGAATGGTCTTTCATTCCAGTCATATCATTCATTTCATTCACTCGTCTGACAACAAAAATTATCAACAATTGCTTTTTTTTTTTTGAAGGTTTCGAGTCTGAAAAGAATGGCGCGCCCTTGGGTTTCAAGAAGCATAGCGGACAGGGGGGGAAGGGGCAAGATGATGAAGAGAAAAGAAGAACAATCTGAGATGTGGTATGGTTGGCAAACACAGGTTGGGAACAGAATAGAAGGAAATAGGTTAACACAGGTGGATTTGATAGCTCAACACCCGCCGCAATCGAGGCACAAGGTAATAAATGATGGTACACGCTTGGAAATGGATCTGGGTATCGTGACAGTCTGCAGTTAGTTATACAAATAGAAAAGGGACAGTGGTCGGTCAGTGGAAGGATGGTGTAAGATTGTTAGTTAGATGCAAGGAAAGGGGGGGGGTAACAGATAGAAAATAAGGACTGGTTGTTGGCGGTTGTGGTCTCTGGAGTCTGGAGTTTTATCAAGCACGCCGAGCTCGTCGATCCATATAGCGAGGTCGACGTGCGGATTCTTCCTCGCCAATGCGAGACTGATATTTGGCATTAGCTGCAATGACATCTGCGTCGAGCGCTGCACCGCGGGAGCAAGAAACAGGGGGATCAACGTCCGGAGCAGGGCTCTCGTACGCCAAGCGCGAGGAGGCTCGTTCTCTTTCTCTTTCACGAACGACTCCTTCGCCTAGGAAAGGGTTCGAGGCCACGGGCGAGCTGGGTTCTGAGCGCTTGGTGCCCGATTGCTTCATCCATCCAAAGATCCCGAGCGAGCCGCGACGCTTGTGTTCAGCCCCGTGAGAGCTCGTTGGTCGTCCAAGGCTTCCATATGAGGAGATGTGCGACTCTGTGAATGACTGGGAGAGCGACTGAGGAGTGATATCGCGCGTGTTGCCTTCAGCGTAAGTAGGCATAGGAAGGGCACACACATTTCCATGTCCAGCCACTGGGCCATCACGCTTCCCGATAGTGGCCTGTCTTGTCTTCCGAATGATGGGTGAAGGTGCACTGTCATCTGGCACAACAACGGGCTCCGCAATCGGTGAGGGCTGAAGACGCCGCGCGTTATGGGAACGACCAAAGAAGGTGGGCCGAAGGCTCCGTCGTTTCTTTGGCTCCTGCTCCTGGGCCACTGCTCGCGGAGGATTGGGAAGCGTCTGGTCTAAATGGAGTTCGGGTTCTTCCAGGCCAGAACCAATGCTGAATCGACGGGAAAGGAAAGCCGTCTGGCTGGGAGCTCGGCTACCCGCCAGACCATGGTGATGATGTGTACCAGCCTGTGGTACGTTTGGCGAGTCCTCATCCACCGGCGCAGCTCTACGTTTCATGCTTATCCGGGGACGAGGACTCAATTTAGCAGCATCAATCCAGTCTTGTGGCGTCAACGGGGGCGATGAATATGTAGGTTCTGGGGTCTGTGATATGGGTATGGTAGGTCTCACGGATGGAGAATGCCCTTCTTCATTTGAAGGGTAGATGGACTCCATCCCATCTTCCTTGAAGATGCGGCTGCGCTTCGACGTGAGGGGCTCCGCGGGGCCAAGCAGTTCGGCAGCTTTAGGTAGCTCAAGACCAAATGGGAAGAGAGTCGGAACGTCATCATCCCTATCGTGATCCATGCTAGGTCCACAGCTCAAATCCAAGCTGTCTGCGAGCTCACTGTTCCCGGAGTCTCGGCGCAGCGTCAGCTCGTCCGCCGATCGAGGCCTTGCCAACTGATGCCCCTGATTCAAAGAATTCTGTCCAGATGTGCCTTTGTCACTACTACCATTTGACCGATTAGTGGTGCCAGCGTGAGCTGTGCTCATCGTGTCAGGAGTAGGGGGTAGTCGGGATCCCCCATAAACGGTTGTCTTGGCGCGAGACTTCTGGTCGAGGGAGCTATTTTTGGACTCTCGATTGAAGACTGCCCCATCTTCATAGTTGAGTTGGTATGGCTGCTTGAGAACGTCAAGGGAAGCACGGTTCCGCCGCTTTTGCATGTTGATCTCAAAGGGATCTGGCCGAGGGGAGATCCATTGGTCGACGCGGATTCGAGGTCCCTGATATTCTTCGAGGTCCGGTAAAAAGCTATCTGTCGTGCTGATAGATACCGGCTTAGAACGTATAGGTATTTGAAGCTGATCGAATCCCTTTTGTCTAGTCGGGCTGTCAAACGGGTTGAGATCACTGCATTCGCTCAAAACACTCAATCGAGGTGACTCGGCACCATCATGGACGGATGGGACGCTCTCCGTTTTTGTCACAACGCTCGATGGACTATGAGATTGTTTGTGACTAGGGGCATATAGACTTCGTAGAGTGGCGGTGTTTCTGTTTTCCTCGCGAAGGAAAGACGGGGCTCTCTTGAGGTGGCGAGATTCTAAAGACACCTGACGGCTGTTGTTCATGCTCGTTCCTCGCCTGGAGGATTTCCTTTCCGGAATATCGAACGCGATGGGTGCGGGAGGTGTCTTTTCCGGAACGAGTAATTCAGAACCCCTTGGACCATCGCTACTGTGAGGACGAGGTGTGGAATTTCGCGAAATGTCACCGGTTTCTTCAAGTTCCTCGACCTTCTGTTCAAGTTGGCAGATGAGTTCGACGGCCTCGGTGATGGCCTGGTCCCGCTTATCGAGTTCCTCCCGCAGCTCCTCGTTTGATTCTCGCAGTCTCTGGTTGTCGTCCTCCACGTTTCGGAGCTCGTCCAATTCATCTTCCAGCTCATGCATACGCTTGAGCTCGTTCTCTAGCTCTTGCATCCGTGCCAGCTTCTGCTCAAGAGCTGCCATCTGCTGCGTACGATGGAAGATTTCAAGCTTAAGGTCAAAGTTGAGTTTATTGATTTTCGAGACATACTGCTCTGCGGTCAGGTCCATGATATATCTCCAAGGGTTCCCAAGCGGCCTTGGGTCGAACACACCTGATCCATTTCTCTGACGCCCATTTCTCGGGGTTGTTTGAGACCCGCTGAAAGGGCACCGTTGATTTTCCTCTGCCTCTCGGAAGGTGTATCCTCCTGGAGTGGTTCTGGTGTTCGTAGACCATCCTCATCGCTCACCTCGGTGAGAGTTCCCCTCGCTCCACGAGATGCCCGTTGTTCTTTGATAAGGCCTTGCAGGAGAGACGACGTAGGGTTTACGAGCGTGGAGACACCGCTATCTGAGCTTCCTTCAAAAATTACCGGGTTAGCAATTCCTGCGTGCTCATATCCAACCACTCCTTCTCGGTATATCCCCTTACTAGAGCCCTGACGAGGTGTTGAAGGAGTCTTTGACGTAGCCGGCGACTGGTCTCTGAACCATGACATTTCTATCCTGTGTCAGTCCAGGCTGATCAAGTATTCGGACCATGTAATGAAAAGCTGCGTACCAGAACTGGCCCGTGGAGGAGGGGTATTCATTGCGATTTGGCCTTTGACCCGGGTGAGGGAGGGGTGCTGAGGGTGTTCTAGTTTTTCTATTTCACTCGTCGGGATTAATGCAAGAACACTTTAGACCCCGGTATCCTTGTCTAAAAGACCCGCTCAAAGACACAAAGAGGAGCAAGCAAGGGAGGGTGTAGGACTGACTCCTTGGACGAAGTTGCAAAGACGCGCTGCGGCCCGGGTGCGCGGTGACAGGAGCATGATATACCAACCCTGGTGAGTCCAAAGGGATGGACTGCACCTCGGTAGAGTTGACCCTTCGAGGGTCTTGCTCCATTGTGGAAAGCATAACGCGTGTCCACTCTTCAGAGCCTAAAATACATGTGCATAACGGCAAAAAGAGACCAGTAAGAAGGACGGCCGAAGTTCAGCGGCGACGACGTGCACAGTTGCGATCCAACCCACAATTGTCATCGGAAAATAATTCGACAGGTCGCTTGGAGGCAGAGTCGACCGGGTTTCGAAGCAGACAAAGCGATGCGAGGGGGTAGGGATTCGGCTGTCAAGACAAGTGGACAGGCAAGCAAGCAATCAGAAGCACTCTCTGGGGAAGTTTTTGTAAGGGTCAAAGTCATAAAGGCCGGTTGAAGGTGTTGCATTCCAGATCTGGCTCGGCAAACAAGCACAGATGGCCTTACTCACCCATGTGAGGGGAGAGTTAGGATGCCAGAAATATTTGTGATGTGTCGATCCTCAGATAAACTGAAGTTTCTTAGTAGGAAAGGATGCTCCCTCCAGACTCCACAATGGTGTGGAAAAGGGTAAGCTTCTTTTTGCGAGTCGTCTTAAATGGTCTAAGACAGATGAATTTAAGTATGAAGCTATTAGTATTCCAAGAGTAGGTATAAAGTATATGTAGCAGTAGGTAAAAAGGCGCCTTAGGGAGAAGAAGGCTGCTAAAATCCCCCCCCCCCAGCCGGGCTACTGTCTAGGGAATGTAGCACATTGCATTATTGCATCAGTAGTTAATAGCCAACCTCAAACTTTAGAGGCCCAGATAATAGTTAGTGTGTGCTCATCACCTAGACCAGGTAGGGTGATAGTTATTTTGCAAGTCTCTGGAGTCTGAACTGTCCACTAGTTACTGACCTCACTGTCCAGTGTCCAGTGTCTCCGTCCTCAGAAAGGGGTAATCGCCAATCGGAAGGATACCCACATAGCAACAGGATTTGGGTGGTTGTCTCAGGCCCCTTGCAAGGAACCAAACAGTCAGCCATTGCCGGCTTTGGCTTGACTTTCAGGGGCTAGGCCTTGGAAAAGAGGGGGACCACGAAGATAATGGAGGGTTCGGGTTTTCTTTCGGGAGGACTTCAGCGAGACAAAATACTCTTAGGTGGAGTCTGTCAGACTATCCGTCCAGCTTGTTTCTCAGTACGGAGGGTTCCTTAGATTGATTCCCTGGTCCGTGAGTTATCCGTCGCTCCGTCAATTGATATCTGATCGCCAAGGTTAAGGATCCCAGGATCCCGTACGGCGTTCCACAGACTTGCTCGACTCCGTTTTTGGCTGAAGACGCGTTTTCTGCCAGCCACATGGGACGGAAATTTTTCCACGGATATGTATGCAAAGGATTTTCGACAGGACATGTTCGAATCGAAGGCATCGGCTTTTTTTGCTCGGTGGGGGCAGAGGCGCTGTGTGCTGTGATTTTGTGGCAGGTGGGCGACTGCACTGCTGTTTCATCTAAGGTAGTCATCATAGTGGGGGGTGCATGACATACTTACTGTATATCAAGAAATCTCATGTGGGATCTTGTATTTGAATGAGATGATGTCGATATTGATATTGATGGAAGAAACTTAAGGTAATATATAAGGCGCTTAGGTGGTGGTCAGGAGGACACTAACATAGGAAGTAGTCACTTTTAACGTGATATTAAACCACCATAGAATAAGTACTGGGTAGCAGATCACTATAAGGCTTAGGCTTAAGAGTCTATTTAAAAGATCTAGAAATATTTCTCTGGTAAGAGGATGGTCAACTGGAAATGGTAATATATATTAGAGGATCTTGGCTATATCAGTTATTTTATATTGATTGATTAACCATAAAGAAAGTGCCAATAACATAAGAATATATTTGGTGCACCATGTATATTGTATATTCTTGAATATTCCCCTTAGAAGAGACCCAACTTAAGCTGATCTCATATAGAAAGGATCCCCAGCATATAGAATCTTATATGCGAGTCATGGTGCTCTGTATATTTATTGCCATATGACTTGATATTCCTCTCGTGTCGGCTGCAGGAATTGAACTCAGACCAATAACAGGAAGGCATTCAAAGAATTAATCATTTAGTCGATCCATTTGAATATCCGGGCTATCAGGTAGCGGCGTTACCTGTAATGCCACCCGTTCATGGTGGTGGTGTTGAGAGAGAGGAACACAACCAAGTCCTCAACCAGTCCACTAGTTCTTCATCATGACCTCTTCTTAGCTTCACCGGACCAGATGCGCATTTCTTTAGCGCTGTCGTGAGCAACACGGAATACTAGAAAGGAAATATTGTTATTATATATCCGCGAAATCCGTCAACAACCGAGGACTCACACTGTCGCTCTGTTTCATCCAGGCCGCGCAAGAATTCAACGCCCTCGCCCATTGCTCCCCGCGGATTATGCGCTTGATCCGCGATTTCTGCCGCACGTTTTTTGAATGTCTAGCGCGGAGACCCCGTCAGCCATATTAACCAGCAGTGTGTACCTCAAGGCAGGAGACGCACATCAATCAAGACATCAACCATCTCCTCTTCTTCAAAAAGCTCCAGGATCCGTTCGCTTAGGCTGTAAAAGTGCGGTGCTAGCGATCGCAGGTCGACTGTCCGGGGGTCCGCTTTGAGAGCATTCATCACGCGCTCCGACAAGGCTGTCGGCAGATCCAGCGTCACTAGTCGTGATGTCCCCAACCGTGCTCTCGAGACGTGTCAGCCAGTTCAAAATAGAGCCAGACCATCAAAGCATATCGATTAGAAGATACAACCGGGGGGGGAGTGGATGGTATAGCAAACAAACAACCCCGGCTGCTGTACAACGAAAACACCATACCCGATAGACAGCATTTCCCCAAGCCATAGTGGAAGATCGATACGGGTCCCCGCCTTGACCTGGAATCGAGTATCAGCCCGCACAGTCCAGCTGCAAAACTCAATGGTTTGTCTTATCAAAGGCGACGTACGCTTTCTCCCGCGTTGCCTTCCAGCACGCCAAGCCTGGGGACCTCGAGCTCAAATGTGCATGGTAGTTTCTACATCGCCCGTCAGTAGTGGGTCTTGTTTTGTCTTGTTTTGTCTTGTTTTTCTCCTCTTCAGGCTTACCTGTGCGTCGGTCAGGATAGAATCGATGTCGTAATAGGACATGTTGATATCTGTTGGGGTCCTTGTTGTAGCTCCAAAAAGCAGGTCTCCAGCTTGTCGCGTACCACAGAAAGAGGTGGTCGTCGCACGGTGTCACGTGTATGCACCCGCCCGTCACTGTCAGTGGTCACTTCAGGGGTCAGGCAAAAGATAACCGAACCGCCCAGTCAAACGGAACAACACTGGACGAGGTCTTCCATCTGGTTTACATCCCAGAGTATCAGGGAATGCACCAATTATTATCAAGGATTACGAACTCAGAGTCGATCTACAACGCAAGTACCTACTACCTACTACAACAGAGCACGGTCAAACCCAGATAAGGAACTCCTCCGTAATGAACTGCCCCTCTTGCCCTGAGAACATGTTCTGTCTACTAATCAAGACGGGCTCCATCAGCGTGATTACAATTTGCACCTTGTCGATCTTCTAGAGCAGTTCCTTGTTAGCTCTCGGTATTGGCGATTATGCCAGCCAATGGCCTCTGGAGTCTGCACCGAGTATTCCCTCCGGAGCCCCACGCAGGACACAAGACCCGAGGGAATAATGATGATGATGATGATGATGACGGCTGAAAGAAATCGTTCGATCCTCATTCACTTTCTGTGTGCGGAGTAGGGAGTACGTCGCGGTCTCTTATACTGCTCCGGGTCCTCTGTACTACATACGGAGAAGGTCGTAAGGAAGAATAATGTCCTCCGTTCTCCGATACGAGACCCGTCGAGGATCCACCGGGGGGGCGACTGATGTCTCAACTGGGGCGCTGAAAATAGAACTGTCTTGACCCTTGCCGGCCGTGAAACCACCTTGTTCCGTGAGGTTTCACGGCGTTCAAAGGCTGCAACGGCGTCGATGCGAACCATCAGACGACCCGCGGGCACAGCATATTGAAATATTGATTTCCCAGTGCAAGGAATGCTCCTCTATTTACCCTCCTTGCGGAGTCTCCAAATAGTATACACGAGGAGACGGAAAAGGACCTGAGTAGACGCGCGTGCGTCTAGGCCCCCAACGCAGAGAATGATGTTCTTTACCTCTTATTATCTAGCACCCCAGCCATCTGGAGATACCTCCAGATTTTTTTTTCTGTCTTGCGTCACGGAGTTGTCGGGTCCTGGTTGGCTGGTCAACTAGCTGTCCTTATCCGCAGTTGGGCACATCGGTGGATGAAAATTGCTTCCCTGTTTTTCTTTTTCTTCTCTCCCTCCCTCTCTCCCTCTATCTCTCTTCCCGGCTGTTATCAGGCTACCTGGGTAGTCGTCATCTGCCAAGAAACCATTATGGTTGTAATCATTTATATTAGGAGGATGCTGTATACCAGCATACGGAGTACTGATGTGACAGAGCAGGCATATCATATATATTAACCACAACTAGTTATCAACTGCCAACCAGTTATTTATCTATTACCTATCTAGTAACCATTATTATTATCTATCCGTGTTGTTCCTGTGCAGGGTCCCGTCTTAATTACACCAGGGTCCAGACTCCAGACTCTAGACACCACCATTCTCCACCCGTGTCATCATCGTCTGTTTTTTCTTGCGATCCCCAGTCCCCAGTCGAGGAGGGTAAATATTAAAATAATACGACGGGTTCCTCCAGAACCAAGCCCCCTTGGCGAAGCAGCAGCCAGCCTTATCTTCTCCTGTCTCAATCAACTCCTGTCACTCTCTGGGGGTGTGTAACTATCGCGTGAGGGATTGCCTTATCGCTCCTTGCCAGTCCTGCATCGCTGACTGACCCCTCAAACCCCCATTTCTTTGTCTCTGATGTTGTCTTTCCTTTGATTTTCCTTATTTATTCACTTTGTTTTTTTTACTAGTCATTTTTACTAGTTCTACCCAGCTGTTGGTGGATGGATCAGGCCTGTCTTGCTGTTCACCATGGCCTACAACGCAGTCGCCCAGGTCGACGAGGAGTTGGGTTTGGAGAGCCCGCGCAGTCCGTCGCTACGCAGTGGATATCAGCGCCTTGACGAGGTGGGCCACGCCGATAATACAGGGTCCGGCAGGGATTTGAGTTCGATAATCCGCTCGCTGAGCTCCACGAGCTACGATCTAGTCGAAGACGACGATTATGGCGACGACCTCGACCTCGCCGATTCGCCCGTCGTGAATGCCGCGCCGCGCCGTCACATTCCTCCGCTCGACACCACCGAGGCCACGCTGCATGCTTCCAGCCTCCCCCTGCGCAGTCCATCGAGCGACGACTACGAGCCGGTGCCTCTCAGCCATCCCACCCCGGATCTACAATCGTTGCAGGGCGCCTACGTGGGCAATGTCGAGCGGCTGGAGCGCAGTGCCGAACGTTTAAGTCTGAGTTCCGTCAATCTGGCCCAGGGGATCCGCAAGATGGATCTCGAACAGAAGCAGAACTCTGCCAGCTCCGTCTGCAACTCCGCTGCCTCGCCGCGGGGATCTATCATGTCTACCTCGCGCTTGCAGCTCGCGGTCGGCTCCCGCCTGGCTCAGGTTGACGAGCCGGGGCATGAAGAAGACACCTACGCAGTTCAGTCGCCAGTCCCGGTTCGTTCGCTGGTTCCAGTTCCGTACGAGCTGGAGCAGAATCATCATCATCCTCATCGTTATAATTATTATCAACATCACCAAGTGGCAGCACCGGCGGATTCGAGTCAGGATGATCGCGATCCGGTAATGGAACAGGAGGAATATTATGACCGACCACACTCGGCAGCATCGGGCGATACATATCAACAGGCCCGTACCTTATTCCGGGATTTTGATGGGGTGCACTTCATTCCTCAATCGCAGATGGAATCCGTCCGACGCGTCCCACTCACCAAACCACCCCTTGCCAGCGCGTCCGAGTCACACAAGGAGCCCAGACGAGGCGAAAACATGGTATATTACCCGGCTCCCGTTCCTAAAATGTTGAATCTGCCCCCGCGCCTGTCACGGAAGCCTGCGAACGATTGGGAGAAACGTCGCACCCAGGTCTTTGGCCCCGCCGCTCCTCCTCTCGTTGAGCAGAAGAAGTCGGCAGCGGTCGAGCAGAATAAAGAGGCTATCGAGGACCGGCGCAGCAAGCGATACTCCAAGATCCCCTCGCAATTGCGTGCGAGCGTCTTCTTCGAGATTCCCTCGGCGCAGCTGGATCTGCAGGTCAAACAGGCCTCGGCAGTTGCTACGCTTGAAAGCATCCTCGACGCCTCTGCTTCGGCGCCGGTCACAGCGTTTACCGACCATCCGTTCGCAGGCCATGTGGGCCGAGAGGTGTACGGCAGCTCGAGACCAAAGTCGTCTTCCAACGCCTTAGTAACGGAGAAGAAGCGACGACCAAAATCGCAAGGCACCATGGGTCTCTGCCACAGTTCCTCAGCCGGTGATCTGAGAGATGTTCCTCTTGACGTGGACGACCACTTCGCGCAGACCGAGGCCGAGGCTGCGGGCGACGACGAGGGATCGGCGCTGCGTGGCTCCCACGATGCGGACAATTACCATGACGATCGCTCGGACAGATCACATGCAGATGAACTCGACGAGAGTTCCCACGCGAACGAAGAAGATAATCCGGAAGCTGAAGAAGAAGACGACAACGACAGCGAGGACGACTTGGCTTTCGTTGGGCAACCGAACACACTGCTGGCCGAGCTCGAGCTACGCAAAAAGCAACTCCAACAACGTCGGCGCACCGTTATCCTGGGTGAGGGTTTACAATCCACCCTGCTCGAGCTGGATGCCGTTGCCCAGAAACAGAGCGAGCGGCGGCGACGGCGCCCGGTGACACTCGCCTGGGAAAGTCCCGACCTGAGACACCAGGAGGGAGAGGATGATGATGTTCCGCTGGCCATCCTGTATCCCGACAAGGCCCCCGGCGGTGACGAATCCCGCCCCCTGGGGCTCATGGAGAGAAAAGAGATGGAGGAGAGCGAACCGTTAAGCCGGCGCCGTGCCCGACTCCGCGGCGATGTCTCTCCGACCAAGCGACCGGCCACTATGCACTCGATGGAAGTTCCCCCTGTCGCAGCCCTGTCTGACAGCGGGGATGAGGAAGAGACGCTGGCACAGCGGCTGAAGCGACTGAGGGGCAAAGACGGACCCAGCACGGCTACCGGCAGTGATTTTACCAGCGAGGTGCTGGCGGAGCTCACCAGCCGCACTGACTCTGATAGCAGACAAGATCGCAACAGTGGAAACGTCGCTGCAGCTCCCGGGGAGGAGGAGGCAGAAGAACAAGAAGAAGAAACGCTGGCACAGCGTCGTAACCGCCTGGCAACGGAGAGCAAGACCGCCACCATCACCACCACCACCATCCCACCATCCTTACCACTAACTGGCCAGAAGGCGATCAAAGAACGCCGAAGTATGGCCGCAATCCCCCAAACGCACCCGACCGTCCTGGGCCGCCAGTCCTCTCACGACCTGCTACTGTCGCAGCCGACTCGGGGCTCAAGGCATCCATACCAGCAGCCCCAGTACGGCGGCAGCCGGATGTCGATGTACCAACTCCCGACCACCTTTTCCCAACCGGTCGGTGGCCCCTATACGCCCCAGTATCCTGGATATCATATGGCCAATCCGTACGGCTATGCTGCCGGCGGTTATCACTACCACGAACCCCAGCCTCTCGGTATGGGTGGCCTGGGCGGCATGGGTTACACCCCGGCCATCGATCCAGGGCAGCGAGATGTGATCGACCGATGGCGACAGAGCATCCGATAGTCATCTCTCCTGGCGGTTCTTCATTTAAGCATTCTCATTCTTCCAGCGATCAGGCGGGCATATTGGGGTCTGTTTTTTTCTCTACTTTCCCTCTCTTTTGTTTATGGCTATTGATATCCATTTAGAGTAGCCAGTCAGTCTATAGTTACCCATTAATTTCACAACTGATCTTCCAGTAAAAAAGAAATTTTATATCGTAGAAACTATACCAAAGTGTACACCATTAATATATCTATTTTTGATACCCTGTAATTTATTCGATTATCTGAGACATCTGTGATTTCATCGGCCTGCTGACGCGTAAAAACACTGTGGGCGCACTTTGGTATTTACTGCCATTTCCGGCGTCAAGTTTTCGGACCATCAACACAAACCAAAAGGTATCGCTGAGGCGTCTTTATCATCTTTCCTCCTCCCCCTCCCCCAAAACGCCGCAATCATTTCTTTCGTTTAATGTGTTGATTAGAGGAATAGGGTCTCTTGACCATGCCCTACGGTCTTTATCGATCATTCGAAGCGTGCTTCCCCCGCGTGTTCCTTCGGTCGGAGCTGTACTGTTCCCACGGCATGAGATTGTGTCCGCAGCTGTTTACTTTTAATTGAGAGAGGGTTGAGTTCTTGGTATAAGGAGAGTGGATAACGAACATTTATTGGAAAGGACGACGATCACCGACATGGTTAAGCTTTCCATGCTGTGGATGCTGTGAACGTGAACAGAGCTCCCACCACCACGATGCCACCCTCTACAGTCTTCTCATACTGGCGGCGAGACCATCGCCGATCATCTGCTTCGCCGGGTCCCTCTGCTGCTGCTGCTACGTCTTCTTCCGCGATCTCTGGGCCCAAGGGAAGTGCTACCGGCAGCCCATCGCAGTCGCCGGGGACGCCGAAACTCGGAGCTACCCTCGCGGCCCCTGTCGCCATTATAACAACTCCTTCTTCATCGCCGAACGAAGCCCCATTCGAACTAGATGCCACCGCCGCTGCCGTCGTTTCAAATCCTCGGCCCCCTCCGCTATCGTCATCTGGGAATTCCGCTGTCCTACACGTGCCGTCGGATCGAGTCGGTCCTGCGGGAGAGAACGATGTACCTGCTGCGGCTCTTACGGCGCAGTCCAATCACTCGCAGCAGTCGCTTCATTCAAACGTGCGTCCCGACGGCGAAGCACAGAAGCCCAGCTCACCGTTTCGGCTGTCTCTGGGTCCGTACCAGTCGCAGACGTCTCTGAACGACAGTGCGGAAGACAGAGGGTTCAAGACCCAGAGAGATTTGCGACCGGATAATAATGTCAGCCGTCGGTACGATCGTGAGCTGCCGTCGGAGCACACACACCACAAGTCCGGGAAGGCCATGTTGCATCTGCTCAACCCGATGTCTTTGCTCGCGCGCAGACGGTCCTCCCAGGTCGTGGGTTCGCGCGCAGAAGAGATAAGCATCCGGAGGCATACGAACCTGGTGCCCGCGATCCCGGATGACTACGACCCCCGGATCCGGGGGAATATCGTCCACGATTTCTCGGCTCCTCGTCCGCGCAGGAACTTCTCTGCTACCCCGACTCTTCTACAATCGATCGACACCACTGCCACGGCGACGGCTGAAGCCGGCCAGAGCTCACCGGCCTCCTATGACTATTCCAATGTCCGGGAGGGCGAGCGGAGAAGACGGCATAGCGAATATTCGCCCGTCTTCAGGGAACATTTCGATGACGACCAGCAGGTGCTCCAGATCGAACACAAAGGATATCTACAGTCCTCCCTGTTGACAGATCAGTCGCTGTCGGACAAGGAGCAATCCATGCCTGTCTTTGCGCGAAAGCTTCCGACGACGCTCCCGGATGTCCAGGAAGTGACGCCTGAAGAACGGCCGGTAGATATTTCACAGTCGTCGGAGAAGAAGAATAGCCCTGCAAAGGTCCAAGAGCTGGAGAATGTGGAGGTCACGCCGCCGCCACCGCTGCCGCCGCCGCAGCAGCAGCAGCCTGCGATCGGGCTGCCGAGACACTTCAAAAGCAATGCGTCTAGGTTCAGTTTTGACATGAATGGTGTTGAGTCTTCTGCTCAGGAGAAATTGCTGGAAGAGAAGCACAAGGAGAAGGAGGCCGCGCGGAAAGCCAAAGCTCGGGAGGAAAACGATGATTTTAGCGACTTTGACGGCGACTACGACAACGACCTCCTAGACGACGGGGACTACCTTGAAGAGGAGATTCCCGGCGTGAATGTCGATGCGGATGAGGAGGAGTTTCTGGGTTTCTCTGGTCCGGGCGCGATGACGGCAAACTCAGGGGTTCTACCAACGCCTATGGCCAGCCCTGACGGGGCACAGCCTTCAACTCTGGCGACTGATGGCCACGTCGATCGGTCATATTCGCCTTCCGTATATGAAGGTTCAACCGATGATGCAGAGTGGCCGAAGGAGGAATATTTCCCGAGACTAGAAGAATCGCCTGTTTTTCAGCCTGCTCCCAACAATAATGATGACGATGACAACAACAACAACAACAACAACAACAACAACAACAACGATGATGATGACGATTTATACTTTGATGATGGCGAATTCGGCAATTTGTCAACCGACCTCGATGGAGAGGCGTTTGACGAGTCTGTTTTCGATGACGAGACCAGTCATCTATACGATAGGAAGCGCGCTGCAGCGGCCGTCTCACAGGACACCAACCGTGCTAGTCTTGAACCACAACAAGAGGATGATACGATTCTTACAATGCCAGTGGAGGAGGAGGAGGACGGCGACGACGACGACGACGACGACGACGACAACAACAACAACAACAACAACGGCCTCAAGCATACGACTAGCATCGCCGGCGAATTTCCCCGTTCAGGCACCCTGGCCCAGTATGGGCAGCCGATGCCGCTTCAACCAGCACCCGGGTTCGCCGCGCCTCGTGTCCACGATGGGGTGCTCTCGGAGCACAACCTCGAGGCGTTGCACCACGCGTTGGCGCAAGCGGCGAATGATGCGGCGGTACATGAGCGGTTCGGACGGGGTTCAAGTGTGAGTGATGAGCAGTCGATGGGTCGGGACAGCGCGACGCAAACGACGGCGGACGAGTCGCACCCGGGCCTGGTGTCGGACGACAGCCGGTTGAGCCAGACGGCGGAGGCGCTGGCGTTTGATGACGACGAGTACCAGTACGAGTACCAGTACGAGGACGGGGATGACGACGCGCTCTTCGACGACCCGATCATCGCGGCGGCGAACGCCGAGGCGCTTGAGAACGACGACGAAGGCTTCTACGGGCAAGAGTTTGGGTTCTACGCGCAGGCTCACGGCGGCGCGGGGACGGGCGAGCTGACGCACGGCGGCTACTTTGGCCCGCGGGGCATGGAAGGGGTGTCGCGCAGCTACAGCTACAGCGGTCGGGGCAAGTTCTGCGAGCCCAGCCTGACGCCCATCACGGAGCGCAGCGAATGGAGCACGCGCAACTCAATCATCTCGCTGAACGCTCTCGGTCCGCACGCGTCTGCCACGGGCCCGGGCCCGGGCCTGGCGCAGCTGGTCGACCACCCGGGCACCCTCGACGACGAGATGAGCTTGAGTGCCTTGCTGAAGCTCCGCCGGGGGGCCTGGGGCGGCAGCAACGGCAGTCTACGCAGCAGCAGCGCCGGCAGTCCGCCCCCAACGTTGCCTCCTGGCCTACCTGCCTCGCACCGGGGAAGCTTTTCCTACGAGCTGCCGCCGGCGAGTCCGACGCAGACAGTGCCATTTCCTTGACACATTTCCCATAATCTATCTCGTGATGATCTACATGAGTCGTATAATGTCATTTATTTTTGATGAACCGGTCGAGGTGATCTGTTGTACACAATAGCCAGAGAAATCGTCGGATTCTTTTCCAGCATTGCCGGATCCCGCAAGCACCCGCAAAGACTTATCCGGCATGTATATTCTGACCTAGGTAGTAGTTCTGGGTAATTAATTACTGTAGTTAATTAGAGCCATTGTCAGTAGTTCTCACTCACCTCAATTCTCTTTCAGCCTTCATAAATAATCCAGCTGTACGACCAGAGTACATCCGCCCAACCCCTGGAGCCTCTCACAGTCGAACTATTATTGTTCCGCCAGAGCCGCTTCGGCAACGCAAATTCTCCCCCATCTCCTTCCACCCTTCGTCTTGACACCACCTCTCCTCTCCTCTCCTTTCTTCCACCACCACCCCCTGAATCCCTTCCAGAATCAGAGCGTCTGCTCTCTGATGAGTCCTTAGTGTGACCAGGTGCTACGGCAATCCGCGTCGAACACCTGTCTGCCTGTCTTTCGGCTGTGGAACCCCTGTGGTGCGTGTGGCTTCCGTTTCCCCGTGATCTGCGGCATTTTGACGCGACTGACTTGTTTTGGAATAACAGTTTCAATCACTTCTACTTTCCTTCCTCCTCTTCCTCCCATCTTCATCTCTGAACCCTGCGATCTCTTCCAATCCCCAATGTTGAGAGCTACAACAACCAAGAGCGCCAGCGTGCTGCGCGGCTCGGCCTGCTCGGCCTGCCGCCGCTCGCTGTCGCTGGCCTCGACGCCCAAGAATGGCCTCGCCTCTGTCGGACAGAAACTGAGTCTGGCGGCACGGAGACCGCTGGCTGTCGTGGATGCTCGTCGTCGCTATGCGGCTGCTGCTGGAGTGGTAAGTAGAGAGAGAGAGAGAGAGAGAGAGAGAAAGCGAAGGGGGGGAGGAAAAAAAAAAAAAAAAGAAAGTGTTAGAAAATTCGGACTCACTGGTTGCTGTTAGGACCCCAACGATTCCTTCCTGCAGGGCAATACGGCCAACTATATCGATGAAATGTACATGGCGTGGAAGGACGACCCGACCAGCGTGCACATCTCGTGGCAGACCTACTTCCGCAACATGGAGGAGGGCAAGATGCCCATGTCGCAGGCCTTCCAGCCGCCGCCGACCCTCGTGCCCACCCCGACCGGTGGTGTTCCTCAGGATATGCCGGGCGCTGGGCTGGCCTTTGCTGCCGGCTCGGATCTTACCAACCATCTGAAGGTCCAGCTGCTGGTTCGCGCCTACCAGGCTCGCGGCCACCACAAGGCCAAGATCGACCCCCTGGGCATCCGCGGCGAGGCCGACGCCTTTGGCTACAACAAGCCCAAGGAGCTCGAGCTCGACCACTACGGCTTCACCGAGAAGGACCTCGACCAGGAGTTCGCCCTGGGGCCTGGCATCCTGCCGCGCTTCGCCACCGAGGAGCGGAAGAAGATGACCCTGCGCGAGATCATCGCCACCTGTGAGAAGATCTACTGCGGCTCCTACGGCGTCGAGTATATCCACATCCCCGACCGCAAGCCCTGCGACTGGATCCGGGACCGCTTCGAGATCCCCGAGCCCTACCAGTACTCGGTCGACGACAAGCGTCGCATCCTCGACCGCCTCATCTGGTCTTCCAGCTTCGAGTCCTTCCTCACCACCAAGTTCCCCAACGACAAGCGCTTCGGTCTCGAGGGCTGCGAGACCCTCGTCCCCGGTATGAAGGCCCTCATCGACCGCAGTGTCGACTACGGCGTCAAGGATATCGTCATCGGCATGCCCCATCGTGGCCGTCTCAACGTGCTGTCCAACGTGGTCCGCAAGCCGAACGAGTCCATCTTCAGCGAGTTCGCTGGCTCCGCCGAGCCCTCGGACGAGGGCTCCGGTGATGTCAAGTACCACCTGGGTATGAACTTTGAGCGGCCCACCCCGTCCGGCAAGCGTGTCCAGCTGTCGCTCGTCGCCAACCCCTCCCACCTCGAGGCCGAAGACCCCGTCGTGCTGGGCAAGACCCGTTCCATCCAGCACTACAACAACGACGAGACCAAGTTCGACTCGGCCATGGGTGTCCTCCTGCACGGTGACGCCGCCTTTGCCGCCCAGGGTGTCGTCTACGAGACCATGGGCTTCCACTCCCTGCCCGCCTACTCCACCGGCGGTACCATCCACATCGTCGTCAACAACCAGATCGGTTTCACCACCGACCCGCGCTTCGCTCGCTCCACCCCGTACTGCTCCGACATCGCCAAGGCGATCGACGCCCCCGTCTTCCACGTCAACGCCGACGACGTCGAGGCCGTCAACTACGTCTGCCAGGTCGCGGCCGACTGGCGCGCCGAGTTCAAGCGCGACGTCGTCATCGACATCGTCTGCTACCGCAAGCAGGGCCACAACGAGACCGACCAGCCCGCCTTCACCCAGCCCCTCATGTACAAGCGCATCGCCTCCCAGCAGAGCCAGCTCGACAAGTACGTCGAGAAGCTCATCGCCGAGGGCACCTTCACCAAGGCCGACATCGACGAGCACAAGAAGTGGGTCTGGGGCATGCTCAACGACTCCTTCGACCGCAGCAAGGACTACCAGCCCACCGGCAAGGAGTGGCTGACCTCCGCCTGGAACGGCTTCAAGACCCCCAAGGAGCTGGCCACCGAGGTCCTGCCGCACCTGCCCACGGGCGTCGACGTCACCCTCCTGCGCCACATCGCCAACAAGGTCTCCGGCGCCCCCGACGACTTCACCGTCCACCGCAACCTCAAGCGTATTCTTGCCACCCGCAAGAAGTCCGTCGATGAGGGTGAGAATATCGACTGGGCGACCGCAGAGGCCCTCGCCTTTGGCTCCCTCGTCTCCGAGGGCTACCACGTCCGTGTCTCCGGTCAGGATGTCGAGCGTGGTACCTTCTCCCAGCGTCACGCCGTCCTCCACAACCAGGATACCGAGGCCACCTACACCCCTCTGCAGAACATCGATCCCAAGCAGGGCAGCTTTGTCATCTCCAACTCTTCTCTGAGTGAATTCGGAGCGTATGTCCTCTCCTTTTCTCCCACCCC